AGTAAAAGATTTCCAAGCAAATCATGGATTTGGAGTCAGAAAACTAGATCTCCTTGTTGGATATCTCTAACCTAAATACGATTTATTCTTTAGACATCTAACCTAAAATCCAGATAAATCAAAATCATTTTAGAGTCTTCTTTCTGGAAGATTAGTTTTGGATTTAGTTTATAGACAATAACAATAAACTTATGGAATTGAAGCTCAGTACAATCTGGAGAAGGCTAAGTTAACAACCTTGGTTGGATTAACAACAAAATTGAATGGTTTAGATGTTAAAGCTAAGGTGAATACATCTACAGCAACTTTAGGGTTGAGTGGAAAAGGAAAATTCAATGAAAAGTTAATTTTCATATTAAACTTAGATTCAACTGGACTTTATCAACTGAGTTACCAATAGATGGATAATGGCCTAGAAAACAAGGGGTTTTCCCAGTCCCAGTAGGATTCACAATCGATACATCCTTATGAATAAAATAAGTATATTCAATATTTATAATATAAATTGAATTTAATTATAGATTTATATAATTGAAGTAAGGTATTCCACTCTATATACTGATAATCTCATATCTAATAGAAAAATAAGTCATAAAAATATGGAGTAGGTATCTTATTAGATATGAATGCTTATCATATCGATTTATGAATTTCTGTCAACTTATATTTTGTTTAATTTTCTAAAGCATTATTATTAGGAATACTCCACTGTTGTTCCAATTTTAGATGTTTATCTTTTATCAGTAACTATATTCTTCGGCATCATCTCTAAGAAATAAACCATTTTGATGCAAGTCCTGCAAAATTCAGCAACACAATATTGCATCTTAAAATTATACTCTATCTTAAATTATTAAAATACTGTAAATATATTTCAAGAGATTACTGAACTGAATTAAAAACCTTGATAATTCCTTTATGTCTCAAATAAGCTAGAACTTCTCTTTCTATTCAGATTTGAAATATTTTATTTTTGCCAATACAACTTCACTTAAAGCACCGAAACCGAAAGTTTTCACAATTTCATAAATATACAATTTAACTATTATGTTGAATGTATAAAGATATATCTTAGACAAATATAGGTAATTTGGTAATCATAATTATTATTTAATAAATTATGCATTATTAGTATAATCATTTCAGGTTAACTTGTTTCATTTCTTGCTCCCTGCTTTCCTTATTGCATCCAATATCTTCTATTTAAATTCCTACAATATTTGGTTGTCACCAACAGCACTCTTATGATTGCATATTGAGTCAATCACGTAAGCCAATACCAATCCGCTATAGTTAAAGTGTTAAGCATAATCGTTCTTGAATTCTACAAATTCTTATGAATTTTATCAATACTATAATATTACTCCAATTTAATATGTTGAATGCTCTCATCACTTTTAAATTGTACTCATTCTCCATGAATTTAATAACGAAATGCACAACTGGCTAATCTATCAATTCCTTATATGGTGGCCCCTTCCCTATCATGTTTTATTTATAATTTACTGTCTCGTCTCTCAAGGGTATTAATATAGAACATTGTTTTGTTCTAAAAGTCAATATACACACCAACGTACTCGTATTAACTAATCTTCACAGGTACAAACACTTTATCGAATAGATCAAATATAGTTCTATTTCTCCCTTAAAATTGATCCGTAAAGCTTTTGGCTCTATCAATTATTGACAATCATTACTTCTCTGGATTTTGACTGAGCACATTATAGAATTCAATTGGAAAGATGAATACTCTCTTGAACTCCTCCTACAAATGACTGAAATAGAATTCCATAATGTTTTGAGACAGAACCAACTTTTACTTGAGCAACTCGAATTCTTATCTATTGATTTTCCTATTGTATTTGAGAGCAATGATTTCCTCTTAATAGAGTTAAGTTTGCATCTGGGGTGGTTTAGGGAAGAGCATTGATTTGGACTTGGGAATTTGAATCGATTATCGCATTTACTATTATTGAAATTAGGGTTGGACTTGCATTTAGGATTTAGTTGATGAAGGTAAACCCATGCCTTCAAACATCTAATTTAAACATTTAAATTACTCTCTCATGAATGAAGTCTTAGTATTAATTCAATAGTATTTTATATTATTCTGGATTGTGTTGTTAGTAATAGATTAATAATTACTATAATTAATCAGCAGGGTTTGGTTCCTAAATCTTTTTATTTTTAACTTGTTCTTTGAGGAGTTCTTCTAAATCCTGTTATCTAAGATGGAACACTTTTTCTGGTGGGAAGAAGGGTATTACAGGTTTGAGATTATAATCTCTGGGTTTAAGTTCGTCAGGTTGGGGAATGTCAGACAATAATTAGTTTTTCACAGTCTCCATTCCTTAAACAAATTCTTTCACTGAAATTTGATTTTTCATAGTATCCACTCTACTAGTAGAAGGTAATGAAACATGAGATTGAGATATTTGATTCTATCCTGACCTTTGAGATTATTAAAATTATTTTGATTAAAGATTGAATGAACTCAGTTGTGAATTGGATTTTTAAAATGAAACATTATCCAATTTTGGATTCTGTTCCCTCTAGGACATTTTCTGAGAATTCGACTTTTAATCGTACTTTCTTGATTGATTGACTTCCTGCAAGAGTTGATCATCAAGTATTCTTGAGAAGGACTCTCCATTTTGTTTCATTTACTGATTTCTGTATTATTTGAGCAGGACCCATTTCATCAAAGCTTACCTTTAACATTCAATGAAATTTAGTTTAAAATTAGCATGATTGATAGCTCTAATAAAGATACCAGCCAAGATTGAGATGAAGTCTTTTGTAATTGATTCAATTCTAATAATTTTCTGATTAATAAAAGCTTTTTCTATTTGCATATTCGTGTCGATCAGGAGGACTTCTTAGCCTACAGTATCCCAAAGGAATGCATAGAGGGGATCCTTGATAGCAATTACAGCCATTGAATAGTTGGCAGTTGTTTAATGAATAGCATCGACTTGTTTCATGTCAGTGATGTAGTTGATTTCAACAGTAACATTTCTTCTGACTTGGGACTTGATGTATTGGAGAGTGTACTCGATAAGTTTGCGAGTAATTACATCATTCTAAATATTTATATCTAGAATTTACATAGATATACTCCTTAGCCTCTGCCATAGTGATATCATGAAGGAAGGGTCCAGGAACAACTTTTTCTATGTACCTTTCATACTCATCATCGTAGTCTCTATAATCTGGAATTTAATCTGACATGTAATATATTTATAAAATTATTATATATTAAGTAGAATGGCTCAAATGGTCATCGAATAGTCGGGATATGCAAAGGGCCATTAAGTTATTTGAAATCCTAATTAATTTGTGGATATAGATTCCAAAAACGTAAAGTTTCATCCCCTGCTCCAGTAACAATGGTTGATCCATCAGGAGACATTGCTAAATACAGTACTCTATTTTTGAATGTAGATAGTACCTGCATGTGTGTCCGACTAATGTTGAGATCCTTTTCATATTGTTGCATTTCCAAAGCACAATTTAATTTTGACTATATCCATGAGTGGAAATGAGTTCATTGTCAATCTTGCTGAACATGAGATTGCACACTTGACTGCCAGTGTCTTCTTTTTGTAAGGGTTTCCCTTCAAGAGCATTCCAGAATCTAATCATCTTATCTGCAGTGCCACCCCCGCTAGCCAATAACCCATGTTGATGGGGACTCCAAGCAATAGCCTTTACTGCAGCCTGATGTTCAGTCAATCTAAATATGGGTTTGTCCTGTTTATGAGAAGACCAAAGATAAAGTTTATTATCATTACCTCCTGAAGCCAGCATCTACCCATCAGGCGACCACTTCAAACCACAAACCTCCTGTTTATGCGCTGACTATTTAAGAAAGTAATTTCCCTTCAATCGTAAATCTCTTTATAATATCAACTTGTCTCTTGAGCCACTACTAAGTACATTATCTGAAAAGCACAACGTTCCTACTCTCGCTATATGCCCCTTGTAAGTGCGAACTCTTTGCAATTTGATGGCATCCCAAATCTAGACTTCTCCTATCTTAGTTCCGACTGCCAAGTGCGGTCCTCGGAGTGACCAAGCCACACTTGTAACTGAATCATTATGTAAATCCAATAATTTAGTAACTTTCGAAGATTGTGCATTCCTGAGATTAATAACACTCATACCATAAGTATACACACGAATTCAAAGCTACAGACAATGTATTCTAACTGCTCCAATCTATTAGATTCAAATAAAAATCATCTTAAAGTTATGGTGCATCAAGAACTTTAAATGGAACTTTCTGTATTTTGCGCACATACTTGCTGTAATAATTAGACAGGGTTTCTGATATTGTAAAATACTTATGATCTATGAGAATACTAGTTATTAATATATTTATAGCATCTACCTATTGTATATTTTGGAATTATGGATGTTGCAATTATTCTGTTGATTGTATTAAAATCCACTTTGATTGATGAACTGCATAGAGTCTGACTCAAATATTGGTTCCTATTCGAGTATTTACTATTTGTATAGCATCTCCAATGCCATTTAAGCTGATGCAATGTCTTGACTCTCCAGTTTGTTTTCCTGGACGATGGAGAAATTCTTCTTCAATTACGTAACAAACCGATCTCCCTGAAAGGATTTCTATCTTTTGTAATCTGTGCTGCTCAAATTGTATTAGTTTTCTTGCTTTGCCTACGGATGGTTCTCCAATTAAATTGAGGCTTCATTGCACAAAGCTTAATAAGAAACAGTCTTTTAATAATAAATCATCACTTTTTACCTGGCTTTTCAATTTGGACATTTGCAAACAAAATATTTTTATATATAAAATATAAATGTGCTTTCACTTTTATCAATAATATTTCAAATATATTAATTTATGTAACAACGACTACAAACACATGCAACCACCGAAGAGGGCAGAAAGTCGAGTTCAGAAATCATCAGTCCCTTGCGCGAGATGTATTAAATTAGGAGGAATGTCATGAAACTTGAGAAGCAACGCACTGATGAAAGTTGCCATCGTAAATCACAAGAATTCATTAAACATATTAGCCAGTCTCACAGAGATGCCATCATCCCCCAACAACTCAAGTTCGAGGACAACCTCGATGGAAGTAGAGCAACCATCAATTCTATCAACTCAGTTGCTCAGCATTATGAAATCATCAAACCTAACCTTCATCACATCGATTGGAATAAGGAAAACAATCAAAATCAAAGCAATAAGAACAAACACCATCAAAAATGCGATTCCAATAAACACAAAACCAAATTTATCCAATTAGATAATTAACGTCAATAAATTAATAAGACGATTCAATAAGTACTGCCTTCATGATTAATCGAATAGATGTCCAAGTGTAATCGACAATTAGCCAATGTGCTGAAAGCCTAAGTTGACAAACTATTCGATACTATTAAAACTGACTACACCTATGCTTGACATGAATTTTTATATATTTAATTAAAAAGCTTATTAATTCCAGAGTGTGTATTGATTATAATTTATACTAATTATTTCAGAATCCAAAAGTCTCGAAATCTGAATATTTTATATATAAAATATTGTCCTCCTTGTTTTTCTAGGAATCAAATATCTATCCCACAGTTTAATCATCTAAATAGAGTTATAACATACCTCTCAACATTAATAAAGTATTGTTGCAATATAAAAATATGCTAGTCTATTTATTGATGGCAGCATTTAATTTGATGCAATGGAGAAACTCTGCCAAATTCTTAGTTTTGTCAATCGCAAATCTAAATGAATCGCATAATTCTATTACATTTTCCAAGGCTATTACACTTGAGTGTTAGATTAAATGTTTGATTTTTTGTGTTTTTCAACTACAACCAAAGCTTTTTATTCTCCAACAGCATTGATAACATTTTGATATTTGAGTTATCGTTCAGCTAAGGTGAACTTTTTTTAAAATTCGAATTCATTATCATTTGCTACTCCCATGACATTGATTTTCTTTTAAAACATTAATTTGCTTCTTTGTTATAAAAAATATTATATAGTTATAAAGAAATGAATAACATTGATCATTCTACAGGTTTTTTTTCTGGAACTTTGACTATTTATTTGTATTTCTATTAAATATCATTAAATGCCTCTTCATCTTCTAGATCTTTCAATTTGCTAATAGAATAATAATAATTAAATGTACTTGAGCAATTTAACAGATGAAGAGTACTTCAAATTTACTAGTTCTCCAATTTAAGCCAAAGTATTCTGTTCAAATCTCTGCTTAGAAGCAGTCTGATAGGTTCTAACGTACTCTTAATCATCTTTCAACTTCTTTAGTTTAGTTGAAACCGTAATTTATCTTTCCAAATATTACTTTTGATTTTTATCCTAAATTTAATGACATTCAATACTTCCTTCTTCTTCTTCATATATTGAAGAAATTCTAAATGTTCTTTGTGATTTTAAATCTTTTGTTCCTTGAAAGACTTCCACTCCTCACTTTTTTTGGTTTGAAACTTCTCAATTCTATCTTAGATACTTTATAATTTCTCATCCAGTTCTTCTATTTTTTCCTATTGTTTTCCTTCTGATTGCATATATCTTTCTCTCTGCTTTGAAAATCTAGATTGTGATTCCTTCTTTTTATCCTACCACATCTTCAATACTAATTTGTCATGTTCTTCAAGTAGTTTTTCTGTCTTTGATAATTTCTACCCAACCTTATTAAATAATTCAGATTCCTTTTCTTCTCTTTCTTGTTTGATTTTGAGATTGATATTGCTTAATTTCTATTCAAAACACTATTGTTTTTCTAATCTATTTTTTTCCATTTATTCTGCTGTTTTCTATCGTTTACTCATTGATAATTCTAGAGCATGTTACTTTCTCATTAGATCTTCCATCAAACGATTACCAAAATCATCCTTAAAATGATTAATTTTATCTTCTAATTTACGATTGCGAGAAGCGATTTCAGATATCATTTTGGATCGTTTTTATTGAATTGACAATTCTCTATGAAATACTATATACGATTATTACTTAGCTTCCATTTTTTCTTGAATTGATTTAGAAGTACGAAAATCTTTCTCTAATTATTTTCTGATTTTTTATTAATGAGTTTATAATTTTTCATAAACCTTTTTATTTTCTGAGGCTGCCTTCTTCCTGAGATTATCAAAGGTCTCCTTACGTGAAACTAGAAGTCTCTCTTCCTTTTATTGATTCTCTTGAATTTTGAGTCTTCTATCCAACTCTTATCTAATAGCCTCTTTGGCAAAGCAATCATTAATTTTTTGTTCCTTAGATCTTTCCTCTTCTATTAATTGCAATTTTTGATCCAAAGTGAGGGTTTCAATTTGGTTGCGAATCATCTTTTTGGTTACAACAGGTTCTGGCCACTTACTAAGTTTGAAATATGAATTTACTAGCCTCTGAGTTCGTCTTCTTCCCTCTGTCTCTTCTCAAAATCAATCTTAATTCGTTTTCTATTGTCAAAGAGATTCTAGTAATCCACTATTTGATAGATAAATATGATGGGTACCTATCAATTCCCTCATGTAACTCAGATAGGCCTTCTACATATCTGCTTCAGTGTATGGTATTTTTTGGATCTCGAAATCGTAGCGCAACTCGAACTTATTCCTAGATGAGTCAGATCACAAATGAAACTTTCGACGGAAGTGATGACAATCCAATCCCATACTTTCCATGGCTTTTTGAGTGATAGGAGAGTCAGGCCGAAATTTTAGTTCGTATTCCTAGATGAGGGAGAGTAGTTTGCGAGGATTAGATATATTTACGAATTTTGGCTCTGTGACAAATAGCATTTAATTAAATAATTTATTAAATGTACTCTTGCGACATCCTACCATTACCAGGAAAGCAATGTCGTTATCCAAAAAGTCTGAATCTTCTTAATTTGGATCATTATTCCAAGTAATACTCACACTGAATCAATTTAGTTAAGATGCACAAAGTTCAAGCAGAATTAGAAAACCCGCAGGCAAGTTCAAGCTATTGAGTGTATCATATTTGGTTATTATTGTAGCTGCACAATCTAAAGAAGGACGAGGGCAAAAACTTTTATCATCATACATCCATCTACAATTTAAGGGAATACAATAATCTAACTAAATCTCCTGTCTTTTTGTAAGTTGTTCCCACTCTATTTCTTTAGCATGAGTGACAATACGAAGTAGGTGAATGAAATGCAAACAAAAGTGCTCTTGACTGACTTTCAAAGAAAAGTGGCATCTTATTTGAAGAAGATTCCAAAACCCAAGAATAATCAACAATATTACTCTGACATCAAACCACTAGGATATAAAAAGGAATACGAGACATAATAAACCATTCTACATACCTAGCAAGAAGAAATGCTGAATCGGTCATTATGCTTGAATAAATACAATTACAGACCAGAATGTATTAATCTATTTGACTGATCTAAGTGTCTGATGTTGGTATCGAAGTTATGTTGATGGACAGCACTAAATCCTTAACCAAGCAAGTCATTCCCAATGAAAGAATACAAAACCGTTTACTCAAATTTATGGAAAGGTACCTCAATGATGACCATATCGATTATGACTTAAAGTATTTTCGCTTTTTTCATTATTATATCATAGGTTGTAGAAGATGACACAATAATATCGTGAAATTGTTAAAAAGATCAAAACCAAGGCTTTCAAAATCATAGTGCCTGATCATTATTAAGTCTAAATGAGTGATTTTAATGATTACTATCAAGTGAACGAGAACAAGTAAAGAGAATACTTAGAATAATAATTCGATTCACTAGCTGATCAGATTATCCAATCTATCCAATAAAGTTCACAATCCTTATCTTCTTAGAGAGATTCCTAGTAGGAACTGAATCAATTAGAACAAGAGATTGCTACTCCCAAGCATCACAATTAGGAGATTTAATAAGAATAACAAAATTAAATTGCGAATGAGGAAGACGAAGATAGAGTGGAAGGCATGAAGGAATCAAAGAGAACTGGGAAACAAAAGGATCCTAAGAAAATAACGAAGAAGCAATCCATAAGAGCTTAAAGACCCTCAACTCTTCAGAGATAAGAATCAGATGTTATTTAATAATTAACTGAACTGAGCAATATAACTCAATAAAGGGAATAGAGACAACCCACAGTTTAATAGATTGAAACAATTCATGAGGAGGAATTAAAATAGACGATCCAAGAGATTACAGAGGAATTGAAGAAACCACACAAGAAACACATGACCAAAGCTCAAAGGGATGAGTAGAAGAAGAGAAAGAAGGAGATTTAGCGATTACATGAAGATATTGAAAGAATCAAAAAAGAAAAGGGAGGAGATTTTGAGTATGAGAAAACAGATTCAGATAGCGAAGATAGATTTAGAAGAAAGAAATTATAAAACTAATTTGATGATATGTTTAAACCAAGATAACTCTCTCGAAGATAATCGCATTAGTTTGATGAAAATGAAGGCGAAGATCTCGATTATGCTAGTGAACAAGAGATTGAAGACAGAACCAAAATTCAAAGGGTTGAGTAAATCATATAATAAAAGAGAGATCCTAATTATCAATATAATCCATAGGAATTTTGGTAATAAGAAGTTAAAATCAATGTTAAGAAACCGCAAGTTTCAAGCATTGCTTCCCAATAGAGATAACAAGAAATGTTCTACTAATTCTAAAGAGAAAAGCTCGAACAGCAAATGCAAATGATTAACTAGAAATATTCACAATCCCCAACCGATCCTCCTTAATAACAATAAGCCAATCCTCTCTAATATTAAATGTCACATGGTTAATAAACATAATAATAAATAAAAAATGATTAATAATAGGTTCCCTCCTAAACTAAAGGCTCTCCATAATAATAACATATGGCTACTCCCCACTATGATGAAAGAAAGAAACAAAACAGTCATTACAGTGTCCAAAAGTCCTTCAAAACTCCACAATCTATCCCTTCTCAATAAAATAATTAAGATTCATTACATGGCATACAGGATCACTCATTCACTATTGATAATAGATAAAATTCTCTAGCTCAACTGGCATAATAAAATTAAGATGTTCGCAATAACAATCCATAAACTACATAAAACCCATAAGTTTCATAAAATGCATAGATTAACCAAAATGAAAATTAATCACAAAACAAAAATCAATAACACAGTGGATAAAATGATCAAAAGTAAAAGCAATAAGGTTCCAACACTAAGAAACAGGAAATACCAAGTTCAGATAATAGAGGTAGAACCATTCCATCAGTGAGAAACATTGAATAAGAAGAGGGAACATAGATTTCTAAATAAATTGAAGACAGGTTATAATAGGTTTAATCTACCTTGAATAAGGCAAAGTTGGGGATGTATGAGAAAATGATGGCAGCACAATCAGTTTATGATGTCGACATTCATGTAATAAGATCATTTCATAAAAATAGGAGTATAAATTGGCTGATTTTCCATTGAGTTCAACGGTGTTTCCAAAACTAAATGGGGAGGATGAAAAATAGATCTTTTAATATTTGTATTGCTATTGTTTAATCTTCTTAGGTACGCATGGCAGAAGGAAGTCTATAAGATAATTCCGATGTTAAATTAAGTCAATCGAAATCTTATTGTATATAAATTGTTAATATAGATTCGTGATGAAGACGAGGGAGCAGCGTCCCAATTAGTTAGTAGTAGTGATGAGGATGATAGATGATAATATTTTAATTATTAAATGTCGTTACTATATTCAAAGTAAACTATATCTAAAACTGATCTAATTGAGTCATTAACATTAATATTGAAACCCAGATCTTAACAAGACTTTGATTTAGCCTGCCAATACCTTGGATCTCTCATGAAAAAACATGCCAAAGAACTCTTTAACAGATTAAGATAAAAAAATTTCGCAAATTTTGTTGAGCCAACAGCTGAAAATTTGTTGAACATTCTCTTTGTAATCCATTCAAATATTGAGGAAGAGTCAATTGCAAAATAATTAAGAGAACCTGCAATATATTGGCTCTAGAAAGTATTGGCAGAAAACAAAGAGAGTTTTACCTTGATGCTAAATGAGGTAAGCACTCCAGGTTTGTAATCAATTATAACTAAGTCGAACATAATTCCAAAAAGTAATCAATAAATTGCAGAAAAAAGAATATCATAATTGGAAATTTAAAATCATGCAATCAAACCATAATTCTAAGTAGAATCGTATTAAATTAAACCAAAAATATTTTGTGTCATCTATTACTCCTATTTGTAAAAAATATCAATCAATTTATCTGTTTACAAATCAATTAAGAGTCTTCAGTATCCTTTTGATGAGCAAGAAGATACGAAGGGAAAATTCATTTGGATTTATAAAATTTAAAATATGATGTTAATGGGCCTTAAATTATTGGAATGCCAATCCCAAGTTTTTAAATTCTACTAAGACTTTATTTATCAAAATATGATATAATTCTTGATCTTCATAAGATAGGAGATTGAATACCTAATCGATCAATATGCCATCATTTCCAATTTGGATTGCTTGTCCTTATATGAGATATATATAGAATTTTTGAGAGCGCAAACAATAGTAGAGAAGTATTGTTCGGATATCGATCTAAAGATAAGACTGAATACAAGGTAAATAGAGGATTTTTTGAATTTTTCAGTAAGGATCAGAGTTTTAAATTAATCTGCCTTTAAAAAAAGTCTCAAAGTAGCAGGTAGACATCAAGCAAATCTATCTGGCAATTAAATGGAAGATAAGGTATAAAATGTAATCCATAATAGCATTAAAAAGTGTAGAATTTTTTCAACAAAGAAAATATGGACGAGCCTCATTTACGAGATTATCATGAGCAATTGAGTGATGAAACTCAAGTCACAGAGAAGCGATATGAAAATAAATCTAGAGAAAATGAGGTTTATTTGGAGGTTGATTCTCATAGGTTGACTCACATCAGAGGGGTAAGCACATTTCAGTAAAGTTGATAATTAATTTAAAATTTTTATGGTTTCATTTTTTAATAACTATTTCCCAAACTTTTTATTCTGTTTCAATTTAGATTGTAAATTTAATTAATTAACTAATTAATGATCACTATTTTAAGAGATTAGATTAAATATGAATATGTAATGAGAATATTTAATAGTATTGAGCAGCCTTTGATATTCTGAATGAAATAAATTCTATCCTCAAGATAAGTATCTTTCCATAAGGCATATATATAAATTGTGTCTAAAATCGATATGTAAATAACAACTGTCAGCCGATAAGTATTCTTCTGAGAAGGCGAGGAGTGTTTGAGTATGATTTTGTTTGATATTCCTATTGATAATAAGTGTAGGACTGCTTATGAAAAGTGAAATAGGATGTGCATATCATGAATGATAATATAATAATATTAATTAAAAATGGAAGAATAAGGTGAGCGTCCAGAAACATCAAAGTGCTCGAGGATGGAAAAACGAAGATTGGTGTCACAGTGTCATCAAAGACAGGAGTCTAGTCAAGCTCAGAGAATTAATGGGATCACTTTATAATAATATTTCAGAGGAGGCAACTTCAAAGTCCTGGAGATTAATGAAGATGATTGGGATAATGAATAACCTGGGCAACAGGCAACCAAAGCTCCACCTCTTTAAAATAACAATTTTCGTATTAAAACTGATAAGAAAATGAACAACAAAAAACTACTTGAAAGATCCCCTGTCTAAAACCTAACTATGAGCAAGGATTTTAACCAACGTAAAATTAATCGAGTAAGTAAAGCAATTGACTATTATGCTAGCCTCATATAACATCAAATGAATTCTTTCAAAATGAAGACGATCTTCGTAAAACTAAGTTAGAATTGAAGTACGGTCGTATGAGGGAGGATGCAATTAATCGCTTTGGCAATCCGGATCAGGAACTATTAAATAAATATGCAGATAAATTTAACATCAATAAGGAACCTCCAAAATTAACACTTGCACCAAGAGAACTCTTTACAAAATTTAAATGAATATAAATTCTTTTTTTCATTGCCACTGCAAGTTTGAAATACTTCTTCAATCAAAGACAATAAACACTAAAATCTCTTTGTTTTTCGATCCTTCTACCTACTCATTGTCAAATACAAATTCTGTCGTATGGACATCCAAATCTAATCAGTGATCAGTAATCCTAATCTATTTTACTCAATCACTATATATGCTTTTTATGATATTCACTAAAAATTAAACACTTTTCAGCATATTATTAATTTATATATATAATTTATAGAGAGAATGTCCAATAAAAATTACACTATGATTCATTACCATATCCCTTAAGATTTGGATGATCCCGAATAACCCAACGCTTACACGTATTGACTATGGCTAAATGTTATTAGACTTCAGTTAAATATCAAAGATATCACATACACAGATATTCTAAAGACATTCCCAATCAAGGGATAATTCGATTTCAAATTCCTATATCAACATCAAAAAGAAAACTTTTGGCTTGACATCAAATCTAATGCCACTCCTTTGCCAATAGTGAATAAACATATTCATATAAGAGCTGAGCGTGTTTAAAAACCATAAGAAACTCAACCAATATAAATTGTTTAGCCATTACAGCAAAGCCAGCCTACATTATAATAATAGAATGATTTAATGTAATTTTGAAGAATAGATGCATTGTATATTCTCAAATTTAAATCATTAATATTTTATTTCTAAACTCTTTTTTCCCTAGACTCTCACTCATTAACTTTAAATACATCAAGAATAATCAATATCAAGAATCGGTCCTTATTAAATAGATTATCGCAAAATTCCTTTGTTCATTATTTTTGTATGAATTCTTATGGTCATCAAATACAAAAATTTAATAATAATGATATTTAATTTGGTATTCTTCTACTACGCATACGGAGTATCAATAAACTTATTCAGAAAATAACAACTAGATTATGCTAACATGTCAAATTTTGACAACTTACTCTTCTATGGTATAATAGAGATAGGGACCCCACCCCAATTAATTTCTGTCGCTTTTGATACTGGATCTAGTATATTATGGGTGCCTTCCGTTAAATGTAAAAATTGCTAGTAGACCATCACGTTTTCACCTGATGAATCAGAAACATTGAAATAAACACATTAAACAATAACAATTCAAGTATAGAATAATTTCAATTTCAGTACGCCAATTCAGAAGTCTTTGGTTTTTTAGTCGAGGATTATGTGGGTTTGCAAGGGTCAAATTTTCTTTCTTTTATGCCTTTCTTATTAGTCACCAATTAAGAGAATTTTTATGGAAATTAAACTTAAGGAATTATGGGGTTAAATAATGAAATTTCAACTCAAAATATATTCGATGTTGCTTCTTAGCAAGGCCTATTGAATAATTCAGTATTCGTCATGCAAATAAACCAAGAACCACAACAATCAAGAATTTACTACAATATTTCAAATTAAAAACTTAATAATGGTACATTTTGGATAAATTCAATCAGTAAGCAATATTGGGTAAATTAATAATGATATCATTAGAGCATTCCAATTGATTAAGTTTAAGTAAAAGATTAAGTAAAGAAATTGATTAAATATAATTGCGGCATAGTGGATTCTGGAACTTCTGGCTTGTTTCTGGCTGAAGACTTGTTTTAACTTGTTATGGATTCATTGCTTAAAGTATGCAAAAAGTACCTTCTTATTGTACTTTGTCCTTGCTATCCAAATGAATACGAATAATAATATATTCCAGATATAGTCTTTTTTTCTAATGGAAAGAAATTTACCATCTCTTACTAAAGCTATATATATTACCAAAGCATGGAGAATGGCTATTGCTAAATAACTCTGAGAAGTATGAATATGTTGGATGGTTTGCTTGATTGCATGATCTTTGGAGACCCATTTCTATTAAATTATATCATAATCTTTGACAAACAAAAAAATAGAATGGGATTTTAAAATTCAAGTCTAGAACTTTGGGATGTTGCGCCTTAGATCTCTAATGATTATCCTCTTCAAGTCGTTGGGTTAACTTGGTTTTCATTAACTGCTTATTTCTTAATATTAGGAGTTCTTTTCTACTACAATAATTTGATGTTTAAAGTAGACTAGGTTGAAGATTAAAATACTTCTGAATAAGAGTTACCAAATGAAAACACTTCTTTACAAGCAGCTCTAGTCAAAAAGTGATGGTGATCAAATTATATGTTTTTTTAAAAAATATTACCTAAAAGTTAATCATGTTTATCATTAATTCATTTTTCTATCAAGAGTAAAGTTGTAAAAGTTAAAATAAATTTATATAAAATTTGAGTTGAGAAGAGAAGTCATAAATTTCAAAGTTCTATTTTGAGTTCAAATACAATTCTTAAGAAAAAAAACTGAATTTATCAAAAATTTTGATTTATTAATTTCATAATCATTAAAACTAAATTAGCTCTTTTAAGCATTCATCCATTAATTAATCTTAAACCATCTATGAAATTTCAACTAGAATTTCAGATTATTCTTCATCATATATCAGCCATCTCTCTTCATTTTGATAAATCTTTAATTATTATCAATAACCATACTTCTTAATTAAGCATTCTTATCATCCTCTCCTCTTTAATTTGATTTAAGTATTCTTAATCTAACATTAGAATTTTTGGGAATGGGGAGTCAGGCTTATCGATTATCAAACCTACTAAGAATGATGCCCAATCAGTGACCTATTTTATAGCTCCTTAGAATATCTCTTAAAGAGTCTCTGACTTCTTATTTCTATTAATGGGATTAAACTTATAAGTACCTTTATATCAATTCTAATGGCTGTTTAATCCAAGGCAGGGGATAACCATTTAACCCGAAAGGTCTAAAGTAATCCAAAGCTTCATTTAGTGCATCATACAGGACTTTATTATGAATATGCTCTAATTCCAACAAAAACCCATCATCCGAAGAGATTTGTTCTTCCTCCATCAGCTAATTCTCTAATTAAGCATATTATTCTGTCTATAAGATAGGTTAATTTGATTAATCATCGTGTTCGCTGGATTGATAATCATCCTCTTCATCATAATAATGGAAAAATTTCAAGATTTCTTTTGGAGTTGGCCCCAAAGGAGTATTTATTCTTTAGATCAATGCTACTTTCCTATCAGACTGCAATAAGAATGATTCTAACTTGGCTAAATAGACTTTGACTTATTAAATATTGGTCTTAATTCCTTTGCTTTGCTGGAACTTTATTAATGTAGTGATGTCTTTGTTGTACAACTTCAATTCTTCATACATATCTTGTATTTCATTTCCAATAATTGAGTTAGCAATTAAAATGGAATATGATTAGATTTATGAATCATTATACTCAGGTTCTTTATGTATAAGTGTAGAGACTTTGATGACTTGGGATTGTTGAATCTTACCACAGTCTAAATTATCACTTGTGTACAACATTTCATCATCCCATTCCAAATTTTCGTAGATTTATTATTGATTATATTATTATTACTATTGACGTGGAGATGGGGAAGGAGAAGTTTTAGGAACTTTTCTGATATCTTATGATTCACAGATGGATGAACTAAAATTCATAGTTACAGTATCAAAATTATTGGTTTTTACTATTTTTGATTGTGATCCTGAATTGATTTCTCTTATCAATCTCAAGTTACTGACATTTTCACTTGAGAATGAGGAGGTTAATTACTGATTTTTCAACTTAGACATAAATAATAAATCTTTTTATGTTCTCATAAATGTCTCATATAATCCTTTCCATCCATTTTCAATGTTCGATTTCTGTTATTTGAAGTCTTCTTTTTCTTTAGTAACCCACTTTTCAATTTTGAATTTTTACTTTTCATATGTTTTAGGACTGATTTATTTTTGTTACAATGCTTCATGAATATTTTTCATTTCATTTTTTTGTCTTTCTTCAATTGCTGTCTCTCTCATTTAGATTAATTTATTCATATACTCTCGATTGAGAAGTTCTTTGAATTTTTTTGATGCAAAATCATAGAATGGATTCTATTCAAACAAGGAAGCATCTTTATTAGCAGGTGATGAAGTCTATGATAATTTAACTAGATTCTCAGATCCCATCACTTATCTAATTTCACTCATTTCTACTGACTGTTATTATTCTTGCTTATCTAAATTATCTTCATTCATTTCTCCATCTATTTCATTTGTTAATTACAATGTGAAAGCCTTTAAATCCTACAAGACTTCCTTAATATTTTATTTAGATCCTTTCCTTTATAATTGTGAAATGTGCTCTAACATTTGATGCCATTGTTGTTTTTATTTTTCAATGATAATTTTATGATTTGATTTCTATTGAGGCAACTTCTTAATAGATGACACCTTTTAAGAATTGAATTGATCTTCATTTTCATCATCCCAATCCAATTAATCAATAAACGTATTGAATCCATTTTTATCATTCTTTTTCTAAGATGACTTCAATCCACTCTGCTCCTTACCTATCTACACTGATTGACAGATGGGTTCCAATTAAGCTTATCTCTAACTCAAATTTGGAGTTAATTGATCCAACTTGATTTCATCTTCATCATCTTCAACATAGTTCTTGTAATATGATAATATTTGTCTCGTCTTATAACCTCTCCAAACCTTTTAAATTATAATTGCAGCCTTAACGATTTAAGCCATTTCTTTTTCCAGGTTTCCCAATTCTTGGATTTGTTATTCCTCATCCTCATCCAAGGTTGGCTCAGAAATAACATGCTACCGCCTAGTGCTTTTATGTATTGAGTCCATTTAAGATATACCTTCTTGATCGCTGTCCAATACTAATCCAAAACAACTTTGATTATCTTTGGGTTCTCCATTGATTTGAGCATAACGATTAGCTAGATTCTGATATTTCATAATCAATTCTTTTTTCTTATCTGCCATCGATGATTTTGTTCTTTTCTTTTTATGAAAGGACACTGACTTTTTTTGATGCACGGATGTAGTATGATTACGATCTATTGTAAATTATAATGTTTTATTTACATTTAATATATTCGTTTAAATTCTATAAATTTTGTTAGATTTTAGTTTATCTATCTATTTCTTGTTGTTTTTTGAACTGCATTTCAAATTAAATTTGTCTTTTCTTCCATTCTTTGTACATTCGTATCTCTTGTAATTGTTATTCATTGAATTTTGGTTAATATTGTGTTTATTCCTCCTCTTCATTGACCTTCTATTCTAAACAATATCTAAATACATATTTACTATTAATCATCTATTTGATTTTCCTTTTTGGAAGGTGATTCAAAAATGAGACTCCCAAAATCTCTCGACGATCTTCCTTTGGTTCTTCCTCCTTACCTTTCCTCATCTATTGTTGATACAATAGGTTGTCTCTCTTCGCCAATTAAGCAAAGATATAATTCTTAAGTCTTTCTTGATTCAATCCCCAAGGAAGGGGTGATTGATTAGTTTATTTTGATTTGCCTTGCTTCTTTTTCTTCTTTTTTGGTTCTCCATCATAAAGTTTTTCTCCTTTGCTTTTGGCAGCTCTCTAGTTTATAAATATAACTCTACTTATTCTTCTCTAGATTCAGATTGATGTTTATATTGATACCTGACATTTTTTATAAATACACAATTTGAATTATTATGATAAAATTTGAAAAATTTATATTAAATTATAAGAGTTATTTATTTTTCCTTGGTTTCATTTGAATTGGGATGAGGACCTTAAATTTGATCGTATTCAGATGGATTTAATTATTCCAATAAAATGGCACCTTATTGGATTTTACTCCATCAGATGAATCTAATATTGTAAATTAAATTAGAGTAATAAGTTGAGAATGTCTAGAAATAGTATTAATATTATGCTTTGAGTATATATTATACAAATATAGCTATATGAATTCTCAAAGAAAACAACAATTCTGTTTAAATTCTTGTTTTTTGATATATTAGATAGGTATATATAATATTAGATTCTGAATATATTACTCACAATTGAAAATTATTTCACTTTGTTATATTTATGATTATTTAACCAGAACAGACATTATCCTATTATATATCCCATCAACAGTATATAATATAGTTTAATGATTAAAATGTTTTTCTCCTATAATTTTTGTATTAAGGAATAAACTATAAGATCTACATTAGTTTGTTTAGTAATGGCATAGATCGTTGAAATTGAACCTTATTTGATTTAGAGTAATTTATTTAAATTGGAATGTATTAAGACAATATTTTATTTCTTAACCTACTAATATGATGTTAATGTTCACCAATAATCCAAATCCAAATTAAGGATTAAAAATGGATAATTATTATCAGAAAATGAAAGTGGTTTGTTTATTGGAAATAACATATTAATAAAACCAGGATAATGGATTTGCAAATAAGACAAAGGAGAGGTAAATTAATAGTAGGATTTTTTGGATTGAATAATGATTTCCTTATGTTATTGATATTGATTAATCAAAATGCTTGGTAACCTCCATAATTGAATAGGACTCTAGTGAATAAGCTATCTATAGTCATTCCATCTGATTCATCCTTTGCAACAATTTCCTTAGCTTTATCAGAGTCTTTATTTTTTAACTCTGCAAAGCATTTGCAACAATAGTCAATATAACCCTAAATGAATAGAATAATAATATACTCCTCCTCGATATCTTCCAGGTCTAGCAGTAACAGAAATGTATCTTGGACCCTTGGCTCCTTCTCCACATCCATTGCACATCATAGGATGACTTTATTCTGCTTTCTCACCTTCTTTCAACTTCAAGTTCTTTCCAATTTTGTGTTCATCAATATTTGTTAACACTGATGGGTCTGATAATGGGCCATTAATAAATATTAAAGAATCCTGATATTTATATCTTTCCATTCCATTTTTAGTTTGATCATCAAATTCTGCGCATTCTGTGCAAACATTTTCATCCTTAAAGTAGCAATAGTATTATTAAGCATCTTTTGAAATATCCTTTTAACACACTGCACAAACAGTTCCTGGATATTTAACTGTAATGGTCTTTGAAATTGTTTTATTAATCTTCCATCTAGTTTCTGGAACGATTTAATAAAGCTTGGCCAAAATAGTTTTAAGACTTTCGACTTGAGTGTCTCTAACAAAGTAATTGAGCTCAACAGTTTCAATTTAATATTAGTCTCCTTCTGCTTAAGTGGAATTGATTTTAAGATCAAAGGCGATCACTTTTTGTTAATCAATTGATTTTATCAAAGCTTCTGTTTCTTCACTTTAGAGAATGTCTTTGATTTGGTTTATACAATCTTAGCCTAGGAATATAGGCTCAGCTTGTTCGAGAGATTTCTTAGGAGCTTCTTCCTTTATCAAATCTTCGACAACTTCTTTCATGTTACTGACTGAAGCCACATTTCTAATTGTACCGAATTTATCTACAATAATGTAATGAGGAATGTATTGAACTCCATACAAAGTTGCATCCCTTTATCTTTGTTCTTTTGGGAAATAAAACTCAATATATTTTTAGCTTTCTTGATGAGAGTCCATAAATTCTTTAGCTTCTTCTGCCAAGACCAAACTCAAAGAAACAAATCTAACAGAATTGCCCCATTTTTCTTAGTTTTCCTTGATAAGATCTGTGTTATTTGCAATTTCTCTAACACATGGACCACACCATTTGGCCCAATAATCAAGAACTAAGACTTGACCTTAAGTGTGTGCGATGGTAGTGAATTCTTCAGATCCCCATTTCTTGTAATCGTCAATTGAGACAAATTATTTACCTTCCCCAAGAGTAACATTTTATTTTAAGCCTTCAACAATCGATTCAATGGTTTCTCTAATTCCTTAGTTCTCATCATCTTCGAATGATTCTGTGTATTCTCTCAATTCATCCAATCCAGTTTTATAGGCATCTAAGGTGAGATTTTCACATTTAAGTGTAAATCTTTGTCTATCTCTAGCTGTTATTTCTTATTTTTCTTAACTCAAACTAAAACTTGAAATTTAAGTTGTTGGGAATGAAATAGTAACGCCTTTGGTTTCAAAATGAGATTAAAATTTAGCTTTTATTTCCTTGATTTATCTTTAAGGATCTCTAATTTTAGATTCTTTTACAACTTTCAAATCATCTGAGATTTGATTCCAATGATTTTAAAGGAATGCATTAATTTTCTCTTCTTCTGCAACATTAACATCATATCTAAGTTCGAGTTTAGATCTCTTTTTAACTTATTTAGATCCATCATGAATCCAATGATTTTCTTTCTGTAATTATATTTCTACGATTCCATCAAATTAAGCATCTGTAATAACAGTTTATAATTCCTTTATTTTGTCTTTTAACTATTTGTATTATTCCTTAGTCAATAATTCTTTTTGGTTGTTATTTTCTGCTGCATTTTCTTGATTCGGTTTTTATTCTTCTTCTTCTTTTTCAGCTGCTATTTCTTTATTTATTCTTTCTTCCAAATTGCCTTTTGAAGGGTGTCCCAAATACACAATCTTTCCCCACTTATTTACAAGTAAAACAAATGGAATTCCTCTGAGTTAGAGATATTTAATAAGATCGTTTTGGTCATCCCATCCCTTCTCAAATCTATAATGTTCTATGGATTTCCATTTTTTTGAATTGACTCTTTCTTTCACTGATTCAGAGTCGTCATCAACAGAGATAGCTATAATCTTTGCCTTATTCTACCAATCTGGATTCTTTTCCAACATTTTTTAATTATGTTCCATTGGATTTTAACATGGACCACACCATGTAGCCTAAATAAATATTATTTATAATTATTACCCATAAGTCAATCAAATAAACAATACCATCTTCTACTTAAAAGGTTGTCTTTTCGGTTTTGTGAGTATTATCTTCTGCAAAAATAATTTTCTCAATTCCATCCACCAATTGAAGTTTGTCACCAAGTTAGTAATTAGGTGTTAGTGTTTATATTAGTGTATTTATTTCATCCTTTACATCTTGTATAACCTCCTCTCCTAAAGAATTGGATGATTATTTCAAAGTGTTATGAAGTTACGCATTTACTGCACCTAATTGTTTTGTACTTCTAAATACTCTTGTGCTTTGAACACTATGATATAATTATGTATTTACTTTTCAACTTTGGATCCTGCTTTGACAGTCTTTATGTGTTTTACAGCGATATCGTGAGGAAGTTCCTTTAAAAATTATTAAAGTATCTTTGTGTCGTCCTTAATTGACATTTTAATTATGTAATTAATTAATTCTAATGTTATGTTATAACACAATCATCCGATGTATTCCGATCAGATTACTATATACACATAACTCACAAAATTATGATTATAATACCACTGAATTGCTAGTACTTGTAATTACATGAATAATTAAGCAAGTTTGCCCTTAATTCATAATATCAAAGTTCATTGTTCTCTTTTTGAATATAAATATATTTTATGAAAAAATCTGCCATTTTGATGTAATTATTAGGTGTAATTAATTATTTATTTAACTCTTCCAAAATATTTGTTAATGAGGATTTTATGACCTCATATAGGCTTTTTGGTCTGTATCAAAATGAATACAAAGATTTGCCTTAAGTTTAACTTAATTAAATCATAAATCATTTTCAAATTGAATAGAACCAGATTTACTTATTGTGTATATGAGGATATAATATAATACTTGATTTTTTAAAACTAAAGACATTTAAATCATATTAGTTTTTATAAAATATTATTAATAAATGCTAAATATCAACATTTTTTAAAATAAAAGACCGAACACTGTTATTTATCATATATTACTTTATGTTCTTTTCTTAATCATCATCAAAAGAGTATTTCCATAATCTTAGCTTCATCAGATATATTACAAATAATATACTAGGCCAATTAACAAATAAGATTTTTAATTCTCATAGAGTTAAACAATAATCAAATTTTATCAAAGCAATCAATAACTTCTGATATTATATTTATCTCTATATTTATATTTCTTTTAATTATCTTTAGCTTATTAGGAGTTTACTTTGTGAAGGTCTAAAATTAGAATTTGTCAATCAATTAAATAATACTATAAGAGGAAACTAAATAATACTCATAAATATTAGTCATCGTTAGTACTATATAAAGATTCAATTAAAAGACACATATTTAGAATTAAAATTATATTTATAAGGTTTATGAAAGACAATGATTCAATATCCACTCTAAACGAACAATTAAAAGACTAACTCTTAGATTCATCAACTTTGGAACCATCTATACAGAACAAAAACCACCAGAATATGATCTAAACCCATGAAGTTTAAGGGTCAATGAAGAGAAAAAGCTACATAAAGAAATAAAAAAAAAAACGATAAGGAAGAAAATGTAGGGATTTTACAATTTAAGAGGATTAGAAGCTGTTAGGGTTCATATTAATGTTTGGACCAAAATTCAAAACAATCTAAAGAAGGATGTCTGGAAGACCATTAAACATTTTGAAGAATAGATACTATAGAGATCTACGATATCGATGGGATGAGGTTTTAGGAGAGTAATATTATTCATTTAAATATGTCCTAGAGAATTTGCTCACTTGAATGAAATAAAAACAGATCTCATCCCTGATGAAATTTTGAAAAACCCACCTTTTGATCCAGATCTATCAAAAATTATGATGAACATGATGAATTAGATGTAAAATGTAATCACAAAATGTTTGAATTGAATGTTCCATTGGCCTTATAATTGCATTTTAATTATATAAAAAGTATTTATTATCTTGTTTTGCGTTTAATCAGTTATTCATAAATTAATATTAAATAAATATTGAAATAATTTACGCCTTATCTAAAATTTATTATTAAAATTTAAATATAACTATGATTTACTTCTTTATTATGATAAATATTCACTTTTATTTTCAATTTAACACCAATATATAACTCCCTAAATTATCAAGCATTCACAAAAGTTGAAATATAATTCAAATTACCCAATTTAAAAGTGAAATGTTCCTTATTTGAATAGCAAATTGCGTTTCTTTTAGATACATTTGAAGTTGTGTATATATCACATAACTATTAACGAATTATCTCCATTGTAAACACATTTATCTTTTAAATAATGTTGAAATAATCTATTTTAAGTATTAATATAAAAAATTAATAAATAAATTAATTCGTTTTTACTCCTTTATAATCCTTATTCTCTCCAAACTGAAAAAGTATTTAAATATAGAATTAATGTTATCATTAATTACTTTACTATATTATTTATCATGAAAAATTCATGTTTTTTACTTATTCCTTATCTCATTTTTAAAGAATTTTAGAATAAAGTTTCTATGTCAACAATGAAATAACATAGATTAGAATATTACCCACTTAAACATTAAATAATGGTGTATTATTGATAAAATTATGACGATTTCTATCAACTTTTTCTATTACTCTTATTCTGATCTCCTTAAATTCTAAAATTTTAATTTATTCTCTTATTCTTCGTATTCTAAATATCATTATTGTTTTAGTTTTACATTGTTCCTAAACTGAAGCTTTTGAAAGTGCATAAATTTAGAGAAATTTCTCCAAGACTTTAAAGACATTTATTTCATGGAGATTATGCAAAACAAAAGTTAATTGAAGGATAATTTAAAATAATATCAAGTAATAGCAATTTGATATTAAATTAAGTTAAATAAGAGTGATCTCTAACGAAAGAGTTAATTTAACTACTATTTATATTTATCAGAGTAATTAAATATAAATTAAAACTAAATTTTTTGTTCAATATATTAATAAGGATTATAATTTTTAATTTTACAAAAAATTATAGGATCAAAATAGTCACCTATTATTTATCCTATTATAAGTAGTGCTTTTGACTAAAACCGTCAGAATCACAGGTTTAAAGTACTTGTCGATAAATGAAAAATGATCAAGACGAAATATAAACAAAAGGTTTCATATAGAAATCACTCTTTATTAATTTTGCATTGTGGAAAAATTATAAATGGGTTTTGCACCATACATAACAGATGAAAAATAATAATTGTTAGAAATACGAAAATATTTCCAATATTTTTTCAATTATATTAAAAGCTAATTATTCTTCAATATTTATTTTAATATATTAGACTTGGTTCATTTATAACTATTAAATTTTTTTGTTTTAAAGTACTTAAAATGAAAGATACCAATCAGTTTAGAATATAATGATCACCCTTCCCTAAAATGTATCATCTACCAAGAGTGTATTTAATTTTCAATATTTAAATGCTTACATAAATTGGCAAATTTGAATTATTTGAAGGAATATGCTTATCAATCTCTTCAGAATTGCGAATTTACTTGATAGACTATAAAACAGTTAAATCAACTTGAAAAAATGAAAAATATATTTCTGTGAAATAACAAAAAAAATCATTTAATAAATTATGAAGTAGAATAAATTGACTTCGAAATCCAAAAATTTGAATAGAACCTCATGCAATTTTCAGGACAATTACAATTCATTTAATGTCTAGGACTAATAGTCAAATATACCTGATGCTGAATTTGAGAGTCTTAGTGGATTGCTTCGATCTTTGAATACAATTATAAACAAGATAATTAATTACTTTTCACACAGTAGAATATATTCGAGTATTTTATTATAGGACTCACAAGATTTGTTAACTCAATTTTTCAGAGGTTTTCAAAGAATTCTAATACTTGTCAGATTACACATTCACATAAAATTTATAACATGATAATGGAAAAAAAGAATATCAAGGAATTTCAAATCTATTTAGATAAGAGAGTTAAGATTTTGTGTAATATTATACATTCAAATGTTCTCAACGATAAATTGATAGATGAATCTAAATTGAGGGAATTAGTATTATAAAATAGGATTTCTGAATATATTGAAGAGTTGATTAACAAAAAAAGGTATTTCACAGCATATAAATTTATGAATGCATTCTAATATGAGACTGTTTCATATCAAGTAAGAAGAAATATTTATAATAGGAATTAGTGCATGAGATGAATATGAATGATATGAAGTTATAAACTAAGATTATAAAGGAGTAACGTTTAGATATAGCAGATAATCAAAAGGTTGTAAATCATTTAAACAACGAAGCTTTGAAATTTTTTATTTTTGTATAAAATCTTTAATACAATAGAAAGCGGAACTACCAATAGAGAAAGTGGAAGAACTATTCTTAGGAGATGATAGCAAATTGTAATTTTTGGTTGAGAACTATTATAAAACAAATAAAGAAATGACTGTTGAAATAGCAAAAAGAAATAATATCAAAGTGTAAGATCCTTTGATTTAAAGGGAGATTGATGATTGCAATTGTGTTAGTCAAAATGCATTATTACAAAATGATGCCTTCTGTATTAAATGTATCTATATTCTTAGTGCCATCAGAGATAATATTACAGCCGAAGAAAATTGATCAGTATGTACGTCTAAGTGATTTCAAAATTTTTAACGAAGATGTTGTTTTGATTGAGGATGAAGAAGCATTGGATGATGAAATCATAGATCAAATTTTAAAGGCATCTTAAACTGGGATTGATACAGAAAGTTATTAAGATATTCCTCAAAATACATTTTCAGCTAAAAATTAAGTTTGTTTATTTTAGATAGCTTTACCAAATAAGATTTACTTATTGAACACAACTAATCTTGTGAATAGTATCAAGTATCAACAGTTTCTGGTGTAATATGCAAGTAGTGATTGCTTAAAAATTGGATAAAATATCAAAATGGATTTTTTGTGTTTATTAGTTTAGATTGGAAAATAGGATGTAGATTTAAGGAACTTTATTGAGTTATCTCAGTTGTTTAGATAGAAATATCCAGATGAAAAGAAGACTAATTTATCATTCTAATGTTAAAGGTTATTGGGGAAAGAATTGGATAAAGTAGAATAAATATCACATTGGCAAAAGAGACCATTAAGAAGTGCTTAAATTCATTATGCAGCACTGGATGCTATCATTTGTTTGCATCTTTATAATCACTATATACAATGATTTTATAAATATTGTATTTTTGTTATGTTTACTAAATTCAAAAAAAATTATGTTTTATAATTGTATTAAATGGATATAAGAATAAAACTACTTGATTTCTTTTGAGACTTCAATTTTTAAAATATTAATAAATCACTTTTAAAAAGATTTATTAAAAAAGAATTATGGTAATAATTTAAATGTGTGATTATTTATAAACATGAAAATCTTGCTCAAATAAGTTTGATTGTTTAAAGCTTTTCAATAATTTCTTCATTTTAAGTTTCTTATATAATTTGCATTAATTAATTAAATTTTTATTGATGAAGAATAGCCAACTTTTCTTGATCCTTCTATGCCTATCTTAAAACATGATTTTCTTTGGACAATGCTTTGAACATTTCTTATATATTATCACTGAAATTATAAATTCTAATCATACCTTGTGTATTGACATTAAGGATGTATTTAATATGCATCATTTGATTCTAAAGAGTAATAGAGGAAATATTCTTTCCAGAAAGTAACTGATTTGCCAGTAAATGAGTCTGGAATAATGACATCTAGATCAATTGATTATGGATTTTTATAGAAAGCATTGATATACTTGTCTTTTTGTTTCATGATCCAAGACCATATAGAGACAGTTTGTTCCATGATTTTTTGTTTTTGAATTTCCTAAGAGTAAATAAATAGTAAGAGATACCAAAAAGGAATCGCATAAGAATGTTCCAAATAATGAAGTTAAGTGATGATATGCCAAATCAAATAGTAGTTTGCCATTGAATTCAAAAGACAGTGGATACAATTGCTGCATTTAATAGACACAGTCTAAGAATTGTAAGAAGATAGGAGATCTGGAATCCTCGTTACTTTATTTATTGCCAATAGCAGATCGTTGACAGAATTGATGTCCACTGTTGATCCACTCTTTTTAAATCAGAATCATGAATCCTTCAATCGTTCTATATTATCCATCGATCATAATAGAGACAAGAGAAGTCAATTAAGCAGTTCTATCCCACCCATCACTACAATGAACCAACACATTGATTTTCTCTCTGGTCATTGTGATTGCTATTTTTGCAGACCCTTTGATGATGGCCACGATGTGATCATACCACTATGACTACTCCAACTATGATAGAAATTGAACGTTTTCACTTAAATTTATTTGAAATTAGATACTTAAATGCTGCCTTCAACAATTTGGTTTATGAATCTCTTACTTTATGTATGTTGTGAATATCCAAGAAGTCTATGCTACATCTTCTATAAAAAAGAGTATTCTCATATCCTTTGCCGGCCACCTATTATCCAATAGCATTAATGTGAGGTCTTGCATCATAGATCCTTAATCGAGTTTCCTTCTCTTCGTATTGACTCTCCTGCTCATCAACAGTCTAAAAAGACATATATTTCAAATAGCATTCATCCTCAGTGGATCTGTTCTATCCAATTCCGGTTCTGCATTATGAACATCTCCACATTGATATCACTTTTCCATTTATTGGAAATGCATAAGAGAGTATGGGTATTCTTTCTTTAGATCTAAATTTGGCTGTTTTTTAAATACAATCTAAATCTGCCTTTGCTGGTACAACTAATCTATTATAATAGGTTGAACAAATGATGCCATTCTCATTATTTAGATATTTAAACAATCCATTCTGATTTTGAGAATTCTCTTGTAAGATATTAATTCCCATTCTTTCAAAATCCTTTTCAATGTTGAATACCTTCCATCCTTAGTATTCAGTTTCTAAATTGGAGAATTCCTTGTAATATGAGAATGCAAATAAAGTCTATTTATTTAAGGTGAAAGCATTCTTATTGATGACATTAAATATGCTATTACAATCGTCATTCTGCTCCCTCAAAAATCTATATTTGAACCATCTCCCATCCTTACATGAGATCTCAATGAAATTGGCATCATTTTGCTTCCTATCCATAGTCTTGTCTACCTTGATTATTAGAGTGTAAGGAACGTAAAAATAATCCTTTCTAAAATCCTTTGGGAATTTATCAGGTAAAAACACAATCTATATTTGTAGGTCAGTTGAATTACTTAATAATTTGTTGCTACAATGATTCCCTAAAATTATTGAGAGCCAATTGAGCATATTCCTCTGAGTTCCTATAAAGCTATTTCTCCAGGTTGTACAATCTCCAGTCCAATGCTCTTAATGTCACGTGTTGTATAGGTCTACACAATATTAGTTTGTATGATTTCTGGCTCATTCTAATCAGTTGGTTATCTTTAACCTTACTACGTGGGTTATGGTTGAGTTGTGGTGTTTCTAAAAAATAATTTCTAATATTGTTGAATGTATTACTCTTGGGGCATCCAGCATCTAGCCTATCTATCCAAATACGGATTGTGGTTATTGATTGAGTTATTGCTATTATGAATAAACAGGCTATTATTATTATTGAGTGGTTGGCTATTGTATATTAACAATTCCTCCAGATTGAGCCAACACTAATAAATATGATTGAGGATATGTTACTTCTTTCCTCCTCTTGGAGTTGTTTCTCAAACTCTTTTGCTCTACTATTCTTTTGATTGTTTTGTGCCTACTGCTATTGCTCAGGTTTCTATGTAGAGCGTCCAAGTGGATTGTTCATTAATTATTAATTTTAATGAAAAAGGGGTTTAAAATAGAGTATAACTTCGAAACCGTGTAGATATGGGAGGAATCCATTGAAGCTTTGCAATTGTATGATCCCAACTATGTACATTTTATGATGATCTAGAAATAAATTCAAATCAAGCCGCAGAATTTGATTGAGTATGTTCTAAATACAATTGAATTGATGGCTCAAGTGCGTGGGTACAATCAAGATAGCTTTATAATTGCCTTGATTAATTATTGTGTAACATGTTCATCATAAACATTCAAAAGGACAGAACAAAAAAGAAATCAAAATCCTTTATGACTGGGTTCATTAATTCATTTAAAGAATAAATTAGTGATCCTGAATTGTCTTATTTCACTCATTTGTTGGATCCAAACAAATTGACTGAGAAAACCCCTTCGATGTTTAAATTCTATCTAAAGGTTCGAAAATACATATACACCAATTACGTTAATCCTCGAGAATCGTATATCAAGCCTATCAAATTCGATGATTGGGTCACTGTTGTCTCCAAGTTTTTGGATAATGCCTCAATTCCCATCATTGGTAACAGGATAAGGGATGAATTGAACAACAACAGCACTGAGAAAGTGTTCAAAAATACGTATGATTATGTTGCATTTACTAAAAGATTAGTATATAACCAATAGAGTTATTGATATTTTGCTACGAAGTCTACGAGAAATAACAGTTGGAACAAGCCTAAAGGTCAAATTAAGAATAGCTTCAGAAGGAGGAGTCTGTAGTTGAACAATAACAAAAACGTTAGACTGCTTAATAATTGGCATATAAAATGATAATGCCTAATACTGTACAAAAAGTACAAGAAGACAAGCATTCCGATTCATAACAGAAAGCTAAGTTCATTGAGGTCATCAAAATGCATGAGAATCTGGCTTATAATTACAAGATTTTGGCCAATAATATCTCTGATACATAAGATATCGTGGGTCAATTGATTCAGAAGGTAATCTGTTTAAATTAACTAAGAATTAAAATTTTGATTTTGATGATGACTTCATCCAGTAATTGGAACAAGTGGTCAATTTTAAGTCATTTAGCAAGAATGATGCAATAAAAGAGTTAGAAGATTCAAATATATATGATTTTATATGAAAATAATTATGACATACAAAAATTGAAATGGATATTTGTAAATTTAAACTAATTTTAATATTTATTCATGTATCTGTATTCAGAATCAAAATGTTTGACAGCAGGATTCTGCTGGTTCTTCATAGTTAGAATTGTATTGTTTCCAATTTTCTACAATAAATACTTAATTAAAGTTGGTTGAAATGCGAAAACGTTTCAACTTCGATGTGCTGTTCTTACCTTATTTTTTCAGTATGCCTTTAAGGTTCTAACTTCTTTGACTTGAGATGACAAGATTTTCTTAATTATGTTGACTATCCTCAAATTAATCATAATCAGGAGGTATTAGAGATCTCGTTCTAAGGGAATCTATTGCATGCACTTTCTTTGACATTGTAGAGTTGAGTACTGAGAATTAGAGATAATGAAAAATATTAAATTTTAATAAAATGAAGGGGAGAATTGACTCATAAGGTAGTAAAGTAAAATTATTGAATAAAAGTAGAGTAGCAAGAGATAATTGGAGATGGAGAGGTTGGTGTAGAGACCAGAAATAGGATTAGCCACTTTAGGTTAAATGTTTAAAAACTATTCATAATAGTTAGGAGGATTGGAAAATGGTAAGTCTATGATTGAAATAACATAGGCAAGATAACCAAGTTGGAATTTCGTAAGTTCTTAATATTTGAATAAATATGCTTCCTATTTAATTCTACCGGACTAGCTTTGAGTATGTTGGAATATAATCTGGAATTCGAAGAGGAAAGATGGATATCCATATGGTTGTTGTGGATGATCCTAATATTTACCATACTGCTGCTGGTTTTCACAGTTTTAAGATATGAATAACATATGAATTGGTAGAAATCTAGGAATTTGTTGACCAAAAGGGAAAGATTATGGCAGACAGATTTATGGTATCCAATGTTGATAGAATTGTCAATATATTTGATTATCCCCTACCCATTCTTAAGAGGGATAAGAGTGTATTTTTACAACAATTTTTAAGAAGCCACAGCTTACTATCATGTTAATGAAATTCTTGAATTGTTTATGTTATCAAGAACAGTATTCCTTTTTAGAAGTCTTTTGGCTTAAACTTTTTGGTATAGTAACAGAACTCAAAGAGTGTGTGCCTTATATGCATGTGAAGGTAATTATATGTTTGTGGCTAAATCCTTAATGCGAACTTCTCCATACACTGCATAATCAATAGCTATGACATCATTAATTCTTGTTTTCGCTTAAGCTGTGAGAATCAGTGAGAATCCCTTGGCTAGGAATGATCAGAATAATAATAATCTTGGCAAATATGACAATGCGGTTTGGAACATTGTTATATCAATCACAACAGTTGGATATGGTGACTTTTATACCAGAACAGATTTGGGGAGATTTGTGATATTTGTTGTTTGTGTGCTTGGAATCTTTGTCATTTCTCTCATGGTTGTCACTTTAATCACTTCCTTAGAGACTTCTTCTTTGGAATCTCATGCAATAACTGTTTTGGAGAGAATTTAACTCAGAGAATAAATGGCCAAATCAGCTTCAATGGTAATCATGTACTCTTTAAGGATTGTGGTTGCATTAAAGTATAAATTTATCATATCAGTAAAATAGGAAAGGGAATTTAAATAAGCTTTAATTCAGATAACTGATTCTCAATTTAAGATATAATCTGAATGAATTTAAGATAAATAGAAGATAATATAGAAATAAACAGGATGTTGGTAGTATGAATGAGGAAATTACCAATCAATTTAGTCTTTTAAGATCTGATTTTACTGGAGCCATTGAAAAACAAAAATCTATATTTGTTTAGAATGCAGATATCATGAATAAATTAGGATTAGAAACTAAGCAATTTCAATTGTGATATTTTATATCTATTTAATTAATTATAAAGAGATAAATTAATTAAGAATGTAAAATAACATATTTGAGCCAGCCACAACGGATCTCAACACAATTCAGAAATTTCAATTACACTCCAAATTTCTATCCAAAAATAATGTTCCTGTCGAAATTATGTCCTATCAAAATCTATTATTTAAAAAGGTAGTTCTAGATATTATCTCTAGTCTCAAAAATCATTTAAAATGACAAAACTTAATTGCACTTTGAGATATTAAATCAAACATGAATCCACTTCCATTATTTTAAGATTAGAAAAAGATGATTGCAAATTCAAAGAATATTTATTTCTAGATAAGTCTGAACCTTGGGAATTAAAATTAAAATCCTAAATTCCCCAATTGGATTATTAAACCTATTATGAACTTGAGAAATTGATAGGAAGTGGAAGTTTTGCTTCCGTTTACATGGCTAAACGCAAAGCTGATGGTATTAAATTAGCCATCAAAGCCTTTCTTAAGAAAATGCTTATCCAGAAAGATCCTGATAAATGGAGAGTATTTCATTCTAACATATGACTTAATAGGAAACCATTGATAATGAAATGAAGGTCATGAAATCCTTAGATCACACCAGTATATTAAAATGCTACGATCACTTTGAAAACAGAGCTCAATGCTACATCGTAATGGATTTGGCAAGAGGAGGAACTCTGGAACAAGGATTAAAGAAGTTGGAAGAGCCTTTGCCTTTCCTGACTGCCAAAGTGATATTCAGATAAATAGTTGAAGCAATCAAACATATGCATGAACGAGGATACATGCATCGAGATCTAAAGCCAAGCAATATCCTCCTTAAGAGACCCATGGTATTGAAGTAATTTTCATTGATTGCATAAACTGATCCTAATATAGTAGTCAGTGACTTTGGAGTAAGTTCAGAAATTAAGAAAGATATGGATATTGGAAAATACTGTGGATCTCCAGGTTTCATGGCTCCTGAAGTAATTCTCTGTGAAACTAACAAAAATTTAACTTATGATGAGAAATGTGATATCTTTAGTTTGGGATGCATTTTATATAGATTGTAATATATACTCTTAATTTAGAATCACAAATAAACCATTATTTAATGGGTAAAATTCATTAGCCATGAAATAGTAGAATAAAGAATGTAATCTAGATTGGACTAAGATTCACGAAGAACTATATTAGAATTAAGCCTTGACCAATTTATTAAGCAAAATGTTATCCCAAGATCCCAGACAGAGACCATCATGCGAAGAAATATTAAATAGCAAGATCTTATAAGTCTAGTTGGATAATGATGGCTGTCCATTATTTATCAATTACAAGAAACCTAAGTCTTCCTCTATATAGTAAATAAAGACTGCCAGGCCATCGATTAAATCAATTAGCAACTCTAAATTACCATAGTTATCACCTAATCATTTTACTTTTAATAATCATAACAATAATAACCATAACAATAATCATACTAACAAAAGATCAGGCAATTTTTTATTACCACCTATTAATAGTAGATTATAGACTGAATAAAGCTAATATTGATTAATATATACTAAATAATAATAATCTATTAACAAAAATCAGTAAACTTCAGTTGTTGTTGGTCTATCCAATTCTTTATACAACTTCTATTGCTAATGTCTCACTAATTTGTTCTTGATACTATTAATGGTTTCCCTCTAATAATTATTATAAGTATCTACCTAATTTTCATTTATCAAAGTTGTCTCAGATCCTAATATACTATCCCTTATTTCCACAGATCCGATCTACTCAATGAGTCTTTCATCTCTTGTGAACAAAACGGTAGTTTTATTATTCCCTATGATCCCTTTAGGAGTTTATGTTAGAGTGGATAAATTTAAATAGCCCTTGAGTTAAAATGACTTTTACTTGATATATAATATAATCGTCCATAGAAATTTCACATTCTTTCACTCCTCTAACAGGTGTTTTACTATAATTATAAAATGATATGGCTGAGACTTGCTGAGGTGAATCGAATAGCAATATCAATTTATTAACTTGGTAATTTACTTAGTCAAAAACACTTGAGTTGATATTAGTTTGCAATCTGTTTGTATACGAATTAACAAAAGGAGCCAGCCAAATCTATTTAGCATCCAGAGTAACATTGCAATTGTTCAGTAATTTATCTGGTGTCCTAACATCCATGTCCATTTCTGGAAGTTCCTTAACTGAATATGGTTTTGCATATAATTTGGGCATAATGAGATCACCATTTGGATCGAACAATTCAAATCCATTCAATCCGATGTAATGTAAATCTCCCCAAGTTGATATTAATTTTATTGTAATCTTAGTTCCTTGAGGTAATTAAGCAGTTTCATAATCTAGATAGATACTCTTTTCAAATTGATAATTGGCTAGAATGGTTTTGATATTCTATTAATATGGTAAGTCAATCACTTAAGGTTCATTCGCATCAGATAATCCATGACCCTTTCTTAAAAAGATCCCTTAAATAGTATTCAGTGTTTGATCATCTCCTTCTACATTGATCAGTTGTACTCCTTTTTCTAACTCATCTTCCTTGTTGTAATTCCAAATGAGAATCCTACTGATTTGGATGGATTATGGAAATGAGAATTGAATTCTAATTTATCCATTTTGAAATTGCCATCTTTCATCACTATTCATTATGGTTTCTGATTGATAGGTAATCACTTTGTATTTTTTAATTTTCAATGATTATCCATATTTATCGTGAATTTCTATCTTATCCAATCCAACATATTTGTCTCCCCAATTTTTTAATATATAAATGGTCAATGTTATGACAGTTACTGTAGGCAATGTGTTGAGTACAGATGCAAAGGGTTTCTTAGAATTAGATTATAATAGTTTATCAGATGGTTGTTTGATGAGAATAGCATTGTTCTGTTTTTACTGGTTATGTTTCTTAAATGTGGCTGTATCTGGTCTACTTAATTTAATGGTGTTTTCTAAGATCTACTTTTATTGTTGAATCTAACTCTAATGTAATGTATTCAACCAATCAGATTAGGATATTTTATCTAAGATTTATTGGTTGTTAGTGAACATGATGTACTCTGCATTATCACTATTACAAGTGGCATTAGCTTATTTGATTTCATCATAAAAGATGGGATCTACTGAATCAGATGAGTCCATCCCAATCAATATCTCCATCTTCCTCACTCCTTTATTTTTATGTGTTCTTCCTTTATTATAATTCCAGATTCTTATCATTGCTATTTTTGTCTCCTTGAATCTCAATTTAATCTCCATATTCTTATCAACCCTTTCCAAACACATACATTTCTCATCCTGAGTAAGATAATTATCATCAAATAAAACACTTGGATTCTTAAAAAAACCACTCGCCTCCATTATTTGCACCTTGTTTCCTAAATAATCAAATATCTCTATCCCAGTTAACCCAATATAAAACATATCTCCCCAATTTCTCAGTAATTTAAAGATCAATAAGTTTCCAATCGGACAATCAGGAATGGTGATTCCTTTTATTCTCTATTTTGTCCAGCAGCTATATGAGCAACTCCTCTTTTGAGATTTGTGATTGTAGTGTCTTCTTCAGTCAATTATTTTTGTGGAAACAAACTCATAGGGTTTTTGAAGAGTCTCTTCTAATTAACTTATATTTTGGCAGGTTAAGATTCTGGCTATTTGATTCTCTTCTCATCATCAAAGGGATTTTTCATAACCTTAGGTTTTTGATGCTTAAATTAACTGGATGCTTTTGATTGATTTATACTATGATATTGTGATAATAAAATTTACATATTATCATCTGATTTCTTAGAAACCATTGATTACATCGATTGGTAGAATGGCTGAGGGACTACTTCCTTAATTTGATTATTGATTTTCAATTCCAATAGATCTGCATATTCAGTATAAGTGTTGCCTACTCCTCTTTTTAGTTAACCTGACCAAACCAATTGTTCATTTTGTAGAATCTCAATGTTTTGTACACATTTATCTAATTCCTTTCTATTTTTATTAAAATTCCAAATTTTGACATGTGTGAGTACTTCAGACTCATCCACATAATGAAGAGTAATTGTGATTGGAAATGATTTATAATTCGTTATCCACATGTATTCCTGGTTAATTATCAAATTATGTCCATTAATGAGATTAGTGATTGTATTATTGGAATCATCATCTGAAATGATTGATGTGATTTAAACGAGTTTTGATTATTGATTTAGCAATTCAACGCCTGTTAATCCTACTGAAGCACTATTACCATAATTAGACAAAATTCTTAATTGTATTCTTTTACTTTTGTTATTTTTAAAAAATTAGATAAGTTCTTCATGTTTTTACTCTCCATTTTCGATCTACCCCAAAAGTTGTTTAACATACTCTTATTCTTTTTGAGGTAACTTTTAAATTCTAGAAAGTTCTTGTTACTAATATACCTTAATTCGAGGTTATTAAATATTTATCTCTCAACAGTCGATAATTGGATTCTGCTACTTTGTATTTAGGTAGTGGAAGCCTGCTGATTTCTAACATTTAGTTTCTCTCCTTAACGTATTGATCGATTTAATACGGCAGCCTATTTTGTATCCATTGATTTAAGGAATGACATAATCGTGTTATCAGGATTGATATCTTTGGGAGTCGTTCTTGAAGTAGCAGAGACTTGCCTAGTTAATTATGGCTTCTGATATTGTAATCGTGAAACACTCATTATTATTTATTAAGTATTTTGTATTCTTTACATCCACACCCGTTCATATTGATATTCACAAATTTAATTAATGGGTGAGATTGTCCCTAATCAACTCTTCGTCGCTGGATACAGTCGCAATAAAGTGACTGATGAAAGAGATGTGAAGGAAATCTTCAGAAAATATGCATCAGTCAAAGAAGTTGCATATAAGGGTTCATATTCCTTTGTTGTAATCTATCCATCTTATCAGACTTTCAATAGCGAAACTGAAGCTCAAGAGGCACTTAAAGAGACCAATGGAATGACATACAATGGTCAAAAACTTAAAGTGGATATTGTTGACAATCGCAAAAGTCGAAAAACTGGACCTTCTGATAGTGATTTGTGTTTCAAATGCAGTAAAGGCGGGCATTGGTATATATGTTAATTAATTCTTAACAGGGCTAGAGATTGTCCAAATGGCAGATCACCTCGTAGAAGTCGAAGATATTCAAATTCCAGATCTAGGTGGGTTATTTATGTAAATATATTCTAGACGTCACAGAAGGAGATCTGATTCTCGTTCATATTCTTCCTAATCTTCCTCAAGATCAAGAAGAAGAAATAGATACTCAAGAAATAAACACAGACACAGCAGAAGTCCAAAGAGACAAGACAAGCCCAAGAAGAGAAGCATTAGTAGAAAAAGATCACCCTCAGATTCTTAATCATCAAAGAGAGCTAACTCAGACTCAAAGTCTTGAATAAGAATGGGAAAAACACATTTATTCATCAAAACATTTTATAATTGTAATAGTTAGTTACTCTCCTATGCACAAAATTAATCACTACAATCTTACACCTTTGACAACGCCAGATTTAATTGCTCCCTCTCCTACATAATTAGAAGTTACAGGACTTAAATATATCTCACAATTTACTTCTTTATGTATTTGTTTTGACTCTTCAATTTGTAGAGTGCTTTTTCGTACTTCAACTTATGTTTTACTCTTGAATTCTTAATTCTGTTACCTCTTCTCCTTCTCATTAATGAAAGATTCTATTACTCTCTAAAATTATCATTACCTTTAACATAACATAAGTAATCTTCCTTGGATCATCCTCTCCTACTTCATGTAATTTCTATAACTTATTTAACTTTTAGAAATTCTCAAGTCTCTCAACCTTCTTCTCATCTCTCTTCTATTTCTTCTTATCCTTAATTCTCTTTAAATTCTCCTCGTAAATCTCATCCATTCCTCCCTCTTCTAAATGCTCATCTACATCCTTCATCGCTTCTAACATATCTCCAGAATTCACTGATATTCTTGATTCAGAATCCTATTCTTTATTCTCATTTTTATGATGAGTTCTATCTACATCTTCCAATAACTTCTTAATTTTTGAAATCTTCTTTTCATCTACATCTTCTCTATTATTATTATTGTAAATATTCTTCAATTTCCTCTTCAAACTCAGAGTGTCTTATCCTTCTTCTTATTTCTTAGTCTACTCCTTTCTCTTAACTTCCTTCTTCTTTGCAGACTCCTCCTTCTCCTTCTAATCAACATTCATCTATATCAATTGAGCATACTTCTCGTAACTCTCACTCTACTCAATCAACTCTTTCAAATCATTAATCTTTTTAAAAATAGGATGATGTTAACTCAATCTTGTTCTTGCTCTCAAATGCAAATAAAACCACAATAACCCAAAATAACTCTACATCAATTCAATTCTTATAGTCAAATACTTTTTAATTTCACTTCCTTTTTCTTTCTTGCAATTCCTCTTCAATATTTTGATCTCCTTTCCTACCTGAGTAATTTCCTTAAGGATCCCTTTCAATTCAGGCCAACCCTTTAATATAACAGTATTTAATTCCTTAACATCCATTTTCTCTATTATTTCTGGTTCTATTCCAATTTCCTCACTTAAACACTGCAATCCAATCAAATTGTATTCATTTGATAATTACTTTGTTTTGTATTCAAATTCCTATTATTCTTAATCCACATGCACATCCCAAACATCAGCATCTTAAATCTTCTTTGCTGCTTGTAATTACAATGCTTTTGCTTCCATTTCTTCCTCCAACTCAGCATCTGAATCTCCTGAATCTGCATCCTCCTTATAATATTTAGACTTATTTTTTCCCCAATTCTCTATAATATTAAAATACTCATTTTACATTTCTCTTATGCAAACGCATTTATTTTCTCCTTCTTATTCTGACTAAGATACTTTTAGTTCACTTCTTTATCCTCTTCTTCACTCTAAATACCACTTACAATAGATGATGAGATTTCAGACATTAATTAAAATTAATAATTAGTGATCGATATAATATTATTGCAATATTTTAGTATTAATTCTTGATTAATCAAAATTTAAATAAAAATCTCAATAATTCCATGTGATCATCTTATACACCTCAAAAGTATTAAAGAATATCTCTAATTCCAAATATTATTAAGAAAGATCACAATTATTTAGATACACTATAGGATTGTAGAGTAAATAATATTAAGAATTTAAATTAATTTGAAGATTTCAAAATTTCAATTTCATAATCAAAGAGTATCCTAAAGATTTAATTAATTTTAATAAGCAAATCAGTGCATATTCAAATAGATTATTAATGAATGGATTTGATATAAATTCTAATATAAAAAATCATAATTCATGTTAAGATTTCGAGGAGAATATTCTGTTCAATAAATTTAATTATGGTCGACTTTATAGAAAACTTCTACCTTAAGACTTTGTAGAACGATGAATGTTTTAATGTACAACATTTTACACTTTTTTTTAAGGCATTAATAAAGCTTTTAACATTTTTTTACTTTTCTCAGGAGATGAAACGCTATTTATTGAATCAATGTCGAGAGAATTCTATTTTTTAAAAGTGATTCTTGGAAATAGTAATCTCTGCTATATCCCCAGTAGACATAATTGTTTTTTTATTGAGTTTTATTACACTGGTTGTTATGCGGAGTCAAAATGAAAAGAGAAATTTTTATCCCTTGTTAGATTTAATAAATTTGGTTAACTATTTGACTTAATGTTCAGGGCTGGGTTTACATTTAATGTTTGTAATTCATCCTTGTCATTTTGTGGAGTGAGTCTTTTTAGGCTTCTTTTATGAAAACTAAACCCAGGAGGTATATAAAATTAAGCAGTTTGTTGCATAGGAGTCAAAGTATCATTCGATATCATATTTTTTATATTTTTTAAATTAATATTAATGTAATATATTATTAATGTACAATCTGTAAATTGATTCTAATCATAAAATCTTATATAGATAACAATGAGATTGTCTTCTGGGATCATAATTAACTTAATTATCTTCATTTCCTTAATTTTCATTATTGTTTTCAACTTAATTAATATTTTCATCTTATTAGATATTTTAAGATTCTTCTTATTATAAGTTAATTTATTATTATAAAATAGCTTATTATTCTTCTATTTCTTATTATTCTTATAATTATTATTATTCTTATTATTATGATTTTTCTTATTATTATAATTCTTCTTATTATTATTCTTATTCTTATTCTCTTTTTATAATTATATATTCATATATTTCATCTTATTATTCCTATTTTTATTATTTTTAAGATTATTTATATTCATTAATACATTAAACCAATGAAGCTTTATCTTTCAATACATAACTTAAAGGTTTATCCTTTAATCTAGTTCTTATAATATTAATTAACTCAGCCTAACCAGATAATTTAATTTTGGTTTCAAATACATTTCTATTTTCAAATACTTGTTCCATAATATTCTTGAGTTAATAATAACAATAATACAATTCTTTTTTAATGAGAAGAGTGACTGACAAATATGAGTTGCTTTGCCACTCTATTCATTTCCTTTAACAATAATAAATTTTTGATATCATCCCCACAAGATAATGCATCTAATGTACCTTTATCAAATGCAATATCAAATTGCTTATCTTGAAAGTCCATGGTTGTTGCATCCATAACTTAATATTAGAGTTTCATATTTTTTTTAATAGCAGATTCCTGCATCCTATCAATAATGGTCTTAGATATGTCAATGGACACAATATTATGATATCTAAAATACATGAATATCTACATACCCATCCTTATACATTTATTCAGACAAGGCTGAGTTACCACATCCAACCATCAAGATTGAACTTTCCTTGCTGATTTTAAATTTCGTTTGTTCCAAATAGAATTTAAGCTGAGGCCATTCTACATACCAGTCGAATCTCCCTTTATGTTCTTTGTATCTATCCTCCCAAAATTAATCTTTAGCGTATTCCTCTCTTGAAAACACTTAACTCTTAGGTTGAACTTATTCTTATTAAATTTCTTCTGTTTATTCTTGTGGTTATTCTTATTGCTTCTCCTTTTATTATAATTCTTGGTCTTTTTTGAGTTTCCAAACTCTTAAGAATGCTTTAAGAAATTGCTTCTTCTATTCAGATATTTCTGGATTATCATTATTGGAATCCATGATTACAATATATTAATAATTTATATAAACCCATAAAGAATTAGTGTGATTCTAAGTTATACAAATAATAGTCAGTAGAATTAGATTAGGATCATAATCTCTGAGGCAATACTCTGAAAAATGGTTATTGTCATCAATATTATGATAAAGAGATGTATGGTCTAACTTGGAAGCTTATACTGATTAATAGTATATGCTTTGTTTCAATATACCAATATTATTATTAATTCATTATAATTTTTATCTCATGAACAAAAATGATCAACGTTCTAGACATTCAAATAACAAAGAAACGATAGTGATAACTGATGAAGAAGATGAACCAAAAATGTAGATATCTATACTAATAATTTAAGTTCTAAGAAGATAAAAAATGATAATGAAAATGATTGTGTAATGAGTGTAGATGTTATTCCATGGATGAGTAAGAAGACTCTTATGATCAGACATCCAGTCTTGAGATTGCACAATGAAATCGCTGAATTTTATGAATACATCTCGCCATCCGACCAAGAACATAAAAGAAGAGTCACTGCTTATTTAAGAGTAGAGAAATACTTGTAAGATATAGCCCCAGAGGCTTAGATTGAATCATTCGGTAGTTTCAAAACAAGGATGTATTTGCCTAATGCAGACATAGATATAGTAATGATAGAAACATCTTGCACACAAAAATAATTATTTAAGAAGGTTGCTGCCAGAATGATGAAATAAACTAATAAATTTGAAAATGTTAATTTAATAGCCAATGCTAAAGTGCCAATCATTAAGTTTGTTGAAGTGGAATCCTAATATCATTTTGACTTGTCATTCAATTAATTAGATGGATTAAAATAAATCGAAGAATTAGAAAAGGCTTTTGAACTTTATCCTGAATTAAAATTTCTCTTAATGACCTTAAAGTGTGTCTTAAGATAAAGAGACTTAAATGAAACATACAGTGGAGGAGTGGGTTCATTCTTGTTATTCCAAATGATCCTGGCCTTTTTAAGAGAATTTCGTAAGGATTTCTTCTAACATAATAAAGAAGATCAAATTAAAAATGTTACTTTAGGAGAATACATGATTAAGTTTCTTGAATTCTATGGCATCAAGTTTGATGTATCAAGGAAGAAAATTGTTATGGGTCAAGGAGGAAGAATTGAAAATAAATCTACCCAAGATGAAAGATTCTCCTTGTTTAGTCCACAAGATCCTGATCATGATGTTGGTCATAGTAGTTATAAGATCAAGGAAATATTTAAGATCTTCTAAAATAGACACAACTTCTTAACCAATTATAATTTTAAGCCTGGAGAATCCGTACTTAGATACTTAATTAATCCAACAGATTAGAAGTTTTCATTTCTTAAACCAGCATAATTTTGAAATACATTTTCATATTATTGTTAAATACAATCTAAAATTATACACAAAAAGCCTTCCTCTCTTGTCACCAAGAATCAATATACTTTATGGAATATTTATACTAATTGCTGTTACTTCATCGATTTCTAATAGTTTCACTTTCTATAACAATTCATTTTGCACTATATTGTACAAGCAAAAGTAATCAGGTTTGCAGATAAATATCAAATGATCAGAATCTATTTATTGAATGTGTAATATTTTTGATTTTGATAATTTTGTGCTTCTCAATATTTTGCCGTAACCATTGCATATTGTTATCTTCCCTTGTTCAGTTCCAAAGTAGGTAAAGTTCTAATCGTAATCTGAGCAACTCAAATTATTCATTTTCCTCAGACTCACTCTTGAGATCTTTGCAATTGACCATCTTACAGTATATCCTTGGGAATCTGTCGATAGTAAAGTGTTTGGTTCAATGTACTTTAAGTTGATGAGCATATTCTTGTGAAATTGAAATCTATATTAGTATTGATTCGCATTCAAATTATAACATAAGATATCATGGTTTTATCTTTGACCTCCTGGACTTAGAATGCAATCCTTATAGAAAATAGCCTATCTACTATAAGCCAAAGTACTTATTTCCTGATTCAATTGCAAAATTTGATAATTATTGTCTATGTTTACTTTGAAAATTGCATATTTTTAATCATCTCCACAACTTAAAATATATTCCTGGCCCTAATATTTATAGTGAGTTAAAACTCTAATCCATGATTAATGCACATCTTTAATTCTTTATAACTCTTAAAGATTCTTATTCCATATAGAGACTGATTTATCAAAACTACTTACAATTATTTTATCTCGAATTTATATAATTTTGCTAACAACTTGATTATCACTTGCAATAAATTTAGAATAATAGCTAAAAGATTCACTGAAATCATAAGTGAATTACAATCTTTTATCATTAACAAAATTATCCACAATAAAAAGTTATTCATATTGCCAATTAAATTATTCTAATTTGTTAATTTATTGAATTAGGTTTGAATTTAATTATTGGAACACATCCTCTATATATGTGGATACCTATTTCAAATTTAGTTGTAATTCTTCAAAGATTCTATCAATGTATAATTTTAATTGAGTTTGATTAAATGTTGATCCTGATGATAATTTTTTATTGAGATTTAACATCTTTGATTACCAAACACTGAATTTGGTGAAAGTTTCTAGCAAAATATTTGTAAACTTATTTGTAAATTCTTTGTCTTTAATATTTATATATTCTTTAATGTTATTTAAATTGATATCCATTAATTATTTTAATTATATTGTATTTTATGTAATTTATAAATTCTATAATTTTTTAGAACTTAAATAAAATATGGAATTGAATTTTCATTTTTATAAATAATTATGTAACAAGATTCAAATAGTTCTTTCGAAGTAACCACTGCTTAATAGTAGTATTAAGTTCCTCTGCAGACCAATTAATAACAAGGTACAACTAATTACATCTATATAACTAGGTTATGGATAATCCAATAACAATTATTCCTCCTAACCATAGTATCCACCATAAAATATTAAGGTTTAAGGTTCTCCATGTAAGTTCTAATATAATTACTTTATAGATCCAGGTTAATAAGAATTGGTTGTAGTAAATACTTAAATGGGGAATGCTACATAATCATAACTCCTCTGTAATCAATCAAGATTTCCTGTACCATTGACATGTCCTTATTGCCAAAGATAAGGAGCAACCAAAATTGATTATTAAACAGGATCTGGAACATGGTGTTGTTGCTTCATATTAGCTTTATTCATCTGTTGTATTTGCTGGGTGCCATTTTTGGGTGAAAAATGTAAAGATGCAACTCACTCATGTCCACACTGTGGATAAGTTGTTGGTATGTGTCCATATAAAGTGTGTGGATGAAAATGATATAATGATATTTGTGTTTGGCTGGAATTATTCATTCTATATCTTAAAGAAATCCTTAAATATACACTAATATATTTATATAGAATACTATCAGATTAATTATAAATAAAATACATAAATAAATTTCAATAAATATTACTTAAAATATGATACTGAAAATAATTAGAACCTGATCTGAATATTCGATCAAGAAAATCACATTTTTTAATTAAAAACAAAAAGTATTGAATTTTGATTAAAAGCAAACTGTTCACTAAAATTTTATTTTTCATAATTTTTTAATGATATTGGATGAGAATTGCATGATTACTTAATTATGCAGTCGAACTATTAAGTTGTCATGAGGAATTAAAAGTCAAAAAATTAAGTGATAAAAGTGTCCAACCTGAATTTTTAATATGAAAAATTTATAGATTTATCTACTATTAGAATTCATTTATTTAAATATTAAAATAGAAATATAATAAAGATGAATAAATTTTGAAGTTATTTAATTTAATATTGTTTATTTTCATATATAATTAATCATTTATTTACCTATTAATGAATAGAAGAAAAACAGTCGCTAAGGAGGCAATAATTGATGTTGAGGATCAAATCAACTAGAAAGAATTAATGTTTGGAGTATTCATTTTTATGTTATAATGAGCCTGTAATCTAAGTATACAGAGATAATCTCAATCTAACAGATATATAGGTAGATTCCATTACTAATATCATGCAAAATATAGAGATCTTTAAAACATGGTGTCCTGAATCTAGTACATTATTTGAGTTTACTCGTTTAATTTGTTAAAATCTATAGTACGAAAGAATTGAAAAAGGAAATGCAGTGTTTCATATAGGTTATAAGTCTTGCTTATTTCAAGGTGAATAGGGAGACAAGTTTTACATTATCCTCACTGGCAGAGCAGGTGTGTATATTCGTAGACAGCAATAGTAAATAGAAGCTGAAGAAGGTGCTATGTTACCAAAAATTGAAAAAATTCTTGAAAGAATGCAAATTAAAACAATTGAAGAAATTGATTAAGATCAAAAATTGTCCTTTTATGAAAAGCTAATAAAAAAATAATCAAAACCAGTAAAACAAATAGAAGCAGAATTATTATTATTACATGTAGGTAATTTCGATATGTATTTTACTATTAATGGAATATGTAAATTCTAGTAATTGTCACAAGTGCATTCTGGTCTCTATTTTGGAGACATGGCTTTGACAACTGATAAGCCTAGGGCAGCTAGCATAATTGCTGTATCAGATGTCTAAGCCTTATCACTTAATAAAGCCAATTTTAAAGTATAAAATTTAACCCTAATCATCTATAGAAAATCTTTGAAAAATAGATTAAGACACAATAAGAAAAAATAGATTATTTTCTTAAGATGTTTCCCACTATGACTAAATTCAAAATGAGTAAACTGATTATGTATTTCACTTAATACAAATATCCTGTCAATTACACCATCTGGAAGTAAAATGATATTGTCGATGGATTCTTTCTCTTAAAGGATGGAGAAATCTAGCTCTAATAGACGGTTGATTTTAATCCACTTCTAAAGTCTGATTAGAATCAAATTGCCTTATCTCCAAAAAAAGAGAAAACTAATCAGAAGGAACTCGTTACTGTATAATTCTTATTTAATATATAGATAGCTCATCTTACAGGAGGATGCTTCGTTGGGGAAACTGACATCTATTTGTAGAATGAAAAAAGAGATTACACTGTGAAAACATTGACTCAATGCAATGTATTTACATTACAATTGGATAATTTTGCTATTGTCAAGAAATCCTTTCCAGAATTCATTTTACCTCTCTAAACTCTACAACAAAAAAACATTGCGTTGTATAGAAAAAGATTAGATGAAATTGTGTAAACAAAGGTTGCTAATATCAATCTACACAAAAAAGAGGAAATCAAAAATATTGAAAGGAGATACATCAACGAAATAGAAATTAAATTGCATTCGTAGAATTCATACTAAGAATAATCCTCCCCTATTCTGAGATCAACCTTGTAGCCTAAAATGACCAAATAATAAATGGTTGAATAGAATTTGTCTATCGCTGATTAACATACAAAATCTGACATAGCAGCTGGTAAAAATGAGGAATTTAACATGCTCAAAATGGCTGGAGAAAACTTCTAAAAGTGTTTGCTTATCAGAGTAGAAAAATAATTCGAATAATTTTAACCAGCAAAACCTAAGTATTTATTTTAAATTTATTTATATATAAGAGCTAAAACACCTTACTTTAGTAAACACCAAAAGGATATTAAAGATCTATTCGAATAAATTAGAAGACATCAATTACCTTTGGTTTAATAAAAAGAACCAATCGTATTTAATCAATAACAAGAAGATGATTTACAAAATAATCTGCCGTTCCTAACCATGACCAAATAATAACTAAGAATAATTAATCCTTTAATTTAATAAAAGGTTGAAATACTCAAATAATGCCTAAGTCGTTAATCTCATACATCTATTTCGAAATCTAAATCTTTATGTTAAACAGCGGGTCAATTTTATAAATCTAAAGCATAACAAGGATTTATTCTTTGTGATTCTCTCTTTCCATACAAACCAGTTCATAGTACTAAAAATAGCAACAATCAACACTATAGTAATCTTAAAGTTTTCCAAAGAAATAAGACAACACAATAAAGTCAAATATAAAAAAGATCATGTCAAGATATTACAGACACTAATTTTTTTAGTTCTCAACCTACAGTCTAATTCATGTGATCTCCATTTAAATGTTAATAAAGTTAATCAAACATTTATAAATAGAAATATTATCAATCAAACCAATCTATCTCTTCAACATTTGGCTTTAAGGGCACACTTTTATTTTTTAAGACATTTATTTCTTCCTACAAAGAGCTTGCTTATTTTAGATTAAATACTTATTTTCTTCCTTTAATTTTTAGATTGTTTCCTGTAGGTTTTGGATTTATTTCTGCTGATCTGAAGTTTTCTTTTACAAAACAAATAAGTTTAATTCTTCATTTTCGTCCTCATCCTATGATCCTTAGCTATTATCATCAGGAAGATCTTGGAACTAATCATATTGGATTTAATTTTGACTTCGTTTTGATCGATTACTAATCACAGATTTATTCATTTGTAATTCAAACTATTCAAGCATTCTTCTTTATTCCTCCTTTAATTTCTCCATTTCCTTTTACATTTTATCAATTTCCTATAATAATAGTTCATTTTAATTTTACAATAACTATTTTTCCTTCTCTGTTTGTTAAGATTTTTCATTATCTTGCTCATTAAATGACTTGATTTATTATTCTTATTGTTTAATTAAATCTTCCTTCTTATTTATTTACTCTTTCAAAATCATATTTTCAAATTTCAAATCATCCTCATCTTCAAGTTCTTCATTATTCTCTTCTTCATTTATATCTCTAAATTGATCAAATTTAGCTACTTGAAAGCTTCGTTTAGATCTGTTACTCAAGACAGATTTATTTTAAAGTTAGTCAAATTACTCATGTATTTTATTCAATTACTCCCTCAATGATTAAATCTCCTGATCCTTTTCAGCAATTAGTTTTTTTAATTATTATTCCTGATTTTATTCTAAAATCTTCTTTTATATATTGTCTTCCTATTCTTTTTATTTATTTTCATAACCCTGTAATTCTTATTACAAATCTTCAATTTGGCTTTATAAACTCTATATTACCATTTCTTAACTTGAAATCTTTTGTTTCTAATGATTAATTTCACTTTTTTATTCCTCAATAAGCTTCCCATTTTCTTAATTTAATTACAGGATTAGATTCTCCTGATTATTCATTTTTTCAATTGCAACATCTAAACTACTTTCCATTTCATTTTTTTATTAAATAACCTAATTAATTTCTAAATCTTTTTCTTAGATAATTTCTTATAGCTGCTATATTTGTTGTTTTAATAAATGTAATTAGTCCTATTGCTAAACTGATTCTGTATATGATATAGTTTCAGTCATTTATTAAACAGTCGCTTATTGTCTTGGTGATATTTATGATTCAAATATATCCAGTAAATCTTAATTTTATTATAAAGAACTTTTGTTCTCAGAAATGCTCTATAATTAAGACTATAATTATAAAGACTTTATTTATTCCTCCTGCAGCTCAGATTATAATTCTACTAATTACCTTTATGCCTATTTCAATTTGTCATTAAACTATAATTAATTAGTTTTATATTATTAGAGCTCATTTTCGTACTATTCAAGTTTTTTACTTTAGTCATCTACCTTATTTTCCAATATTTGTTTTTCATTTCCAAACTCATTCTGCAATTAGATATTATCATTCAATAACTGTTCTTTTTCCTTATTAACATCTAGTAATTAATTTTATAGATCTACTATTTCCTATGTATTTTGATTAAATTAATTTATTTATCCTTGATCATCCAATTATTATTTTAAATTTAAGATATAATCATCCTTTTTTTAATTCTCAATTTCAAAAACCTACAATTTTTCAATTATTCTTTCTTAGTTAGTATTTTTTTATTACAAATTTAGTAAATTATTTTCACTTAGTGCTAATTTTTATAATAGATTATTATTTTATTCCTCCCATTCTTCATTTTATTCTTTAAGTAATTTCTTATTCTTTGCAGTTAATTCGTCCATCTATTTCAATAAATCCAAATTTTCTTTTTGATATTTGGTTATTTTTTAAGTTTATTCTTCAATTTCTTAGTTGGCCAGAGCTAATTAATCTTCTAATTTTTCCAAATTCTAAATTAATAAATCGGATTTATCTTTTTCATTTTTTATTGATTCTTGTAACTCATTCTTTTCATTTAATAATCTAGAATTCTGCTTATTTAATTTATCTATTTCTTGCTGATATTTCACAATCTTGTCTGATAATAATTATTGATTTAAATTATCTTAAGATAAGTCTTTTAATTTCTCCATCAAATCTTAGATTTACTTTTCAAATTGTTTCTTTTCATCTATATTTTTAACTAATGTAGCTTCGTACTGTTGGTTTTATTATGCTAAATTTTAAATGGTCTAATTTTATTTATTAACTCTAAGTTAGAGTTATTCAAATTCGGTTAATTCCTCCAACTTACTTTCAAGTTCTTTTTCTTTTAATTTTAATTAAGTTTCTAAGTCTTATTTTTATTTTGATAATTAATTATAATTGATAGATAATTTTGCATATTTATCCTCATTGATTGCTAGTTATTCAGATAGTTTTTCATTGTGGATTTACCATTAATCATTGAGTGAATCTATTGATTATTGTTTCTATTAATTGACATATTGAATTTTTTTTATTAATTCAGTATTTTCTTATTTAGTATAATCAAATTAACCTTACAAAGTGGAATAATCTTTTCTAATTTTCTAAACTTCAACTTTTGAATTTTCTAATTCATTTAATATTGTATTATTATTCTTTTTCATTAATTATATTTGCTAATTTAAATCCTACTAAATTTATTCATTCTCTTTTAATTTATTAATTAGTTATTGTACATCTTGTTGCTTTTAAGACTATATAAATACAATAAATATTTACTTAATTTTTATTTTGGTTTATAGTTTAATTAAGTGATTCGATAATTTAATCTCTTCCTTCCAATTCATCCATCAAAGCGATAAGTTGACTTTCTAATTTCTTTATTTTTTATTATGCTTCCTTCTTTATTAATTATTCCTTTTCAAGAGAAGTACTTTTTTCTTGTTCTAAATTATAGATAATTTATTAATGTTTTTTTTTGAATTCATTAAATTATTCTTCAATTTGTTGAGCTTGATTTAATTTTTGTTCATAGCTTGGTTTCTTTTATTCCTATTTGAGTTGAATCTCTAAATTCTTTACTTTTTATAACAAATTCTATTTATCCTATTTTAGTTCATTAATAATAGTTTTAGAATCTATTTATCGAGCACTGCTTAATAAATCTTCATCTATTTACTATTTCCGATTTATTTTATTTAACTTTTTCATAATTTTAAGCATTTTCTCCTCTTTCAATTCCAAAGATTGAAGTGTTTGTTATTCTAATTCATTTAACTATCTTAAAATGAAATTTTAATATTCATAAAAAACTAAATTGTTTTCTTGAGTACTATTATTATCTTATGTGTCTTATTATTAATTTAGATCTACTTATGAATATAATCTCTAAATAATATATCTGGCATCACTTAACTATTATGATAAGCTTTTAATTGTATTAGACAAACTTATGTTTTCTATTTTCATCTAATCTTAAACATTTTGTAAACCTGCAATTTATGTTTAATAGAACATTCTAGTCTTATCATTTCTTATTTTCAAATCAGCTATTTCTTAGAATGAGTTATCTTATTATTAAAAATTATTCTATTCACAATCATTTTTGGCAGTATTTATGTTGGATGGGCTCAAATATCTCAAATTCTATGGATTGATTAATTAATGTGTTTTCTAGAATTATTCGCCATTTTTTCCTGATTTCAGAAAGGTTAAATAGTTATCTTAATTATTGGTTTAATTTTTGAATTGAAATTAGTAATCTTAGGTTTTTTTTGAATTATTTTATTTCTACATATATGTTAGCTAATCAGCTTTAGTTAAATTTTAAGTGTTTCTTAAATATGATTTGCAATTCAAACTATTACCTCTTGTTCGTTCCTATTGTAAAGCAGGAGAATTTCTGAATGACATAAATTAGTTAACTTTTATAAATAAAATAAAATTATAATAGTTAAGAATCAATATCTGTAATACCCACTATTGTATGGTTGACTATTAATATAAGCAATACAATTACTAATATTTGGATACATGTAGTTGTTGAGTAGTTGTTCTACTAAATGGTATCACCTTAGGTTCAGGTATTAAAGGAGGAGGACTAAATGATGGTGGTAACATATATGCTAATATATGATGTTCAGGCGATCTTAATTCCAATAAGAAGTCATCTGCATGCAAGAATGAATGGGACACAAAAGCACCAATCTAATACATTATAATTGAAAAACAACGTCCTTTTATTTTTATATTTAAAATACCATATTTCTCTTCCAGATTGTGTCTAATATAATCTGTTTTATGAGCATAGTGTTCTTAGTGTAAAGATTTATGATAAAAATCCATGATGTCAAATTTCATTTCATTGCTAATTTAGAATCCTTATGTAACACATTCAATTTTCACTTTTTAGTTCATAGTACTGTTAAAAATTTAAAAATAAATTAAATTATGTTAAATAGTTTCTTAAATAAATATAAGTTTGCATTTACGTATCCATGTCCCCGGAAATTGAGAGAGATTGTCAAAATGTCTTTATTTGAACGGGAATCAAAGGATCAAGTTGTTTCATTGTGGATGGAGTATCATAAAGATAAACAAAACAATGTTGCTTATGTTGTAAGCAAGGATGAACACGATATTCTCAAGAGAAATACAAAAGAATCTCCATTATTTTTATTGCCAATCAAACGAAAAGGAGGCCATTTCTAATTAATTGGATAGGCATAAACAAATAGTATTGTAAGGATAATACATATTCTAGTTATTTACTTTTTTAGAAGAATATAAAAAATCTGGGTCTTTTTCCTCTCCTTATTTTATATTAACTATCTTTGAAGAGCTGCTAGCATAAAAACAGGTCTCTTTAATAAGAGGAGATATTATGGATTATAAAATTGATAAAGATGAGGCTACCTTCTTAACTAATCAATTTCTTAAATTTTATATGACACCAGAACTATATGAAAAATACATCTATACACTAAATCATAAATAACAAGAATTCAATTATGATGATTTTAAAAATCATTTTTAAATATGATAATTTATCAATAACAATGCATCATTTATATTATATATGTATTTATTTTCACCATTTAAATGATTAAAAATCATCCTTTTATTGTGGAGATCCTTTAGCAAAATTGTCAGCAAATCCTGTCCAATCATTTCCTCCAAACTCCTTATTGGCATCAAAATCGATTTAAACTTCATCTACTTGTTTTGTACCCTATTCAAATACAAAGTTTTAATCAAAATTAATAGACGGATTTTATTCAATAGAATTTCTATTATCAAAATGAGCACCGAATCCATCTTCAAATTTAAGATCAAATACTTTATGTTCTATTTCCTCTTATTCCTCAAATTACTTAGATTAATCAAATTGAACATTTATTTATTGTTCTTACTATTAATTAATCTCAAGTTGATCTTCATTATTTTTATTAATAAATCCAACATCGTTATCAAACCCAATCATGTTATTTTCAAATTCAATCTTATCTTCTAATTTAACTTAAGGAGGTTATTAACTTTCAGTAAATACAAAGTCCTCAACTTCTTATGATTTAATTTACTGTTATTCAAATTATTCTACTTATTGTTTCTATTCATTTTATTCTAGTTAGACTACCTAATTAGATAAATCTTTATGTTAATTATCTTTATATAAAGAAAATACATCAAATTATTCTTTATTATCTAAATCAACTTATTTTATTTATTCTTATTATTATTCTTATAACTTCAATTTTGGAAATTCAATATTATCAAATTTGATATCCATTACTTCTCTAAATTCTTATTGATCCTATGGTATTTAATTAGTTTTAATTTATTATGATTATGCAACCTATTAGAAAGGTACAAAGGTATTTTGCGTTTCATGAGTGTCTATAGGCTAATAAGGTGTAGAATTCTTTCTTTATGATTTTATATCTTTAGATAAAGAACCTAATGCTTCAAATATTAAACTCATCTGATCTTTTTATTATTTCATTTCTTTAATAATTTCTTATTCTTATCTCCTTTTTCTTTCTTATTCAATCTCATAATTAGATCTTAAATCTCCAATTATTTAATTGGCATAATCTGTAACTGCATTGATTGTACTTGTAGTCTATTTTGAGTATTCTTGTTTTAATTAAATGTTCAATCCTAATTTTTAGTTGATTTCTATGGCTTATTTACTTAAAGATTCTGTGAGTTTCTTCTTCTATTATTCAATTTATTTAAGTTCTTCTTAAAACAAATAATTTTCGTCAGAAATCTTTTTTAATAAAGTTTTATATTGTTCATTAGTTGTCTATAATGATTCTAATTAACTTTAACTTGAGATCAGAATCTTTTCATGAGATTCCTTAAACTCATTAAGCAAATCATTGGCTTCCTTAAAATTTTATTCTAACTATTGCTGCTGTATTTACATTTATTCTTGAAGCAAGACTTACTTTTGAAAATCTATTGTTTTTTTAGGCTATTGAGAAACTTGCTATGATATTGTTGTACTTTACAAAGACGCTACTTGCTATTGTGGGACAATTGGCTAAGTTATTTATTATAATTGTGGTTGAGAATCGACATCATTCATAATTAGATCAATTGATTTTTGTTGTTTTAGAACTGGTTATTAAGTTTATGCTGCTGGAATTTTGAATGATTAAGATGTAGTTAATTAAGGTTATTACTATTTTTATACTGTTGTTTCAATAATCGGATTGGGCATTTCTATGTAATTGAAAGCGCTATCTAAATAGTGTAAAATTAATCTATACATTTATCAATAGGAGATTTAGATGTATCAAAATTTGCTTCGAAATCCATTAAGTCATTAGATTTAGGGACAACAGAGGGTTGTGGGTTGATAGGGGGATTATTAATATTAAGATTTTAAGATACTAATAACTGTTAGTTTAAGTATTCTTATAGGGAATTTGGCAATTTTTATGGTATTGGCACATTTTAAGATGCTAATGATATTAGATGTGTGATAACAATATAGGAATGAGTAGTCATTCTTGGTTTAGTTTATAGGTTCGGATCAACTAGATTGATGATATTCTATAATTGAAATTAAGTGAGATTAGTTTTTTTGAATAAATTCATTGCCATTTAAGTTGAGACCTAATAAATGTATAAAGAATTACTGTGGAGTTGGAATGATCTAATTATTATATATAATTCTGATATAACCTCTCTTATTCTGGTCTGAGTTTATAAACTTCTTCTGTATCAGATTAGAATTATGGTAATGGACTTGGAATGCATCTTTAAATGGAATCGTTGGAAACATCAATATTGTTTTGTGCATAACTGATGAGCTTGAGAGCTACATAGAATTCTTCCTTATTCAAAGTTTAATTATTGGGTGAACTAATTAACCAAATCTTTTTGAGAATTTCTATAGATAATCCTGATCTTTTGAAAAATGAGACTGCTTAAGCTCCTCCAATCTAGCCTGTGTTCTAATAGCATAAAGTATTCAGATACTGTTGCATCAACTGCTTAATACAATGAGGCATAATAACCTCTTTCTTTATTATCAAGTTTTACTCTCACACTCATTTATTATAATAATTTAATTTAATTAATTAAGAATCCGCGTTAGTATAGTGGTTAGTATTCAAGCCTGTCACGTTTGAGGCCCGGGTTCAATTCCCGGACGCGGAGCTTTTTTTAATTTTTATTAATATATATTGAAGCTTGTATAAATATTATTAAGATGAGATTTTTTTGAAATCCTTTTTGATTAAAAGTCAAGAAAAGATTAATATATATTATCTAGTATTAAGTTGGATATATATTTTGTGATTCAATCAATTTCAATAATTTATATCCTTTTATTCAGTTCATTCTATATGATTTGAAATATAATTATTACAAAATTAAAGACAACAAGATTTCAAATTAAAAATTTATTATTTGAAATATATTAATATAATTTTTTCCTTAAAGAAAATACTATAATTAGTCTTAATTTTTGTGCTTCTTAAAACTGTTATCTAAAACAAATATGTTAAGTAATTAAAAGCATGCCAACAGAAATTTATTTATTTCTATTTATTTAAAAACAGAAACCTTAATAGCTATAATTTTAGTTTCAATATTGAAATCAAAGTTTAACCATAATGAAATAACTTTCAGCAAGCTGCATTAATTTCTTTCTCCAAACTTAAACAGTGCACATATGCCATAATGAGTCATTCATTTCATCTCCTGGGAAGCTTTAATACATTTTATATGTGTCTAATGGTAGGATCTGAGGTTAAAAGAGAATACTAATGAAATTAAGTTGGACATGAGAGCAAAAACTAAAACAGGTATAATTTTTCTTTGTTTGAATCGACCTTTATCAATAATAATACTAAAATAATACTTCTAAACTTAAGTTTTATATATGCAATCAACAGCTCTACCAAATAAGTGTACCCTGAATTAGTATTTGACATTTTCTTCTTGAGTCACGAAACTTAAACCTCCAGCAATGAACCCCGCAAAAAAGTGCGTTGATTCCATCTTCCATTTCTTATTGTTCTTAATGAGCATCAAATACCTTTGAGTAAGAATGTCTACAAGCCCAAAAACTATCTCAATTAGAAATTAGTTTTGTATATTAATTCATTTATACTTTTTTAGTAGAATGACTTATGCATTTAATAATTTTTGATCAGATTTCATTACCTTTTTAAACCTAATAATAGCATCAATCCATTCAATAACAAATTTGCAAAAAAATGCCTTAATAAATCCTTCACTTTCCCCTTGAAAAGAATTTCTAATAAATGAATGTATATGTTAGCAATGATTTGCTTGAAGATCAATATTTTTGTTACCAACTCTAAAATCCTCTAATTATTCATTAATTTAATTTATTGAATAATATGGGAAGTACATACAATAATTAACTTATCTAGATTTTTGTTAGGGAGATAAACAATATGATATAAATTGCCAAGACAATACGCATGTTTATGAGGCTACCATCAATTAATCCACTGTAACCATCATACATGGAAACATTCTCTAGAATAACCTAAGAGGAATATGTAAATAGCTCTATCCTATACTAGTTAATGCATAAATTGATCCCAATTCCTTCACATTAATGCAATTACCAGAAATGCAACGTGAATTTCGTAATCAACCTTAAATATTTAGTAAAATCTAAAATACCTATTATCTAACGATTACCGCCTGGAGCATGCCAATCTGAATTTATTATCAATCTTAAAATTAATTATTAGGACACTAGAAAGGAAATAATAGAGGCTTATGAACAAAGGTACATTGTTAAATTCAAATTTAGTTTTGAACTCATGTTTTAACATGAATTAGAAAATGTTGGATATAGAGAAGGTAAGGATAAATTTAAAGATAAGTCTGAATAATTATATAATTCAGAATTTTTATTAGAAGCAATTTTCAATCAAATTAAAGAAAATAAAATGATTAAGAGTTTTCAGATATTTAGTGTTGATATGTAGATCTGCTAATAATATAAAAATGAATTAAAAAAGCAATTACACAAATAAATGTCGAAAAAGAATTTTGAAAGATGTTCAACATAGGAATAACTAAATGAATCATATACTGAAAGAATCCTTACTGCCAATTCTTGTGATCAAGCTGATTTTGTCAATAAAAACTACCTCAAACAACAACTCAAAAGATCTATTGCAAATAATTAATAAAAAGAACTATGAATTTCTATAATTTGTTTATGATAATATTATTTATATAAGAGAATAATTAAATATTCATTTATTATTTTTTAATCTTGAAGTTTTGGCTTTATTTTAATAAATTAATTAATTTACAGCTAAATGATCAAACGGATCAATGTATGACTTTACTTAAGTGTTTTATTGTTAAATCCTCTTTTTCAATTCCTCAATCTTTTAAGAATGTTCAATCTAAAATTATTTAGCTGAAAATCCCCTTTTTAGACCTAAATTGGCAGAATTATTGGAATTTAAATTCTTATCCATTCTGTCAGTCATCATCGTATCTTATTGAGCTTCGATCAATGATTAAGGTCTATTACTTTATTTTTCAAATTTTGGTTTTTTTGTTTTCAAAGTCTCCCCTATAAAATAGAAGTTTTCAAACATAGGTTCAAATTAAGTCTCTTAATCGCTTTGTAGCGACTTCTATAAGTCTTGATTAAACTTTTATTCTCCTTATTTGAATTCTTTTGGATCAAAATTGAATTTAATCAAATTGGGCAAAAAAGGAGGTTAGATTTTTCGTTTTAAAATGTCAATTAGGTTTACATCATCAAAAAATTGATGTCCTAATATATCCTAAATCCCTTCTCGATTCCCCATTCTCTGATTAGGATCTTTGTGTAATAATTTTCTCAATAAATCTTTAGCTTCAGGAGAACAAACCTTTACTGGAAATTGTACCTCATCATTTAAAATACTTTAAAATATCTCATCTGTATTTTTTGAATAAAATGGAGGAAGTCCAGTTAATAATTCATAAAGCAAGGCTCCTAAACAATAATAATCAACTGCAAAGGTATGTCCTTATTGCTATAACATTTCAGGTGCCATGTACTCTGGTGATCCACAAAATGAATATGCTTCGTCAAATTAACCCATATTAGGTTTAGCTAACCCAAAATCTGCCACTTTTAAGTGTCCATATTCATCAATTAAGATGTTTTCTGGTTTCACATCTCGATACAATACATTTTAACTATGCAAAAATGCAATAGCAATACAAACCTCTACAAAGTAGATTTTTGCCTAATCTTAATTCATCCTCTAAACTTTTCGTAATTAATTGAATAATTCACCGCCAGGACAATATTCCATACCAAAACATACCCAATGTTTAGTTTCAAATGCACATTCCAGCTGACATATAAATTACTTAGGCATTTATTAATCGCTTAAATTTAATTAGACCATAACATCTCTTTCATTTTACACAATCTATTATTTTTAATGTTCTATTATGAATTATTTTGATATCAATTTCAAGGCTATAAATCTACCATTTCTTTTAGATCTAACCAAATATACTCTTGAAAATCCTCCAATTCCAACGCATAATAAAAAATGGAAGCCCTTAAGTGATAATTTTTAAGTGTATTCAGGATAAAGTGGTTATAATTTTATGGTTTGCTTATCTAAAATCATCAAATCTTTATTTTTGAGACTTAAGTAGTATTCAACTGCGATGTTATTATCTACGGATGAAAATCCTATGATATTCTCATCTTATGTTAATAATAATATATTTACTATCTTAACAACTATCAATCAAATATTAAAATAATTAATCTGTAGTCTTTTCTGAACAGTCATATTTAATTTCTATTGTTTTTTCTTTATCATAAAGTTGAATGTTGACATAATGCTATAATGCTGATTATTATTATTCTTTTTATCTAAAGGATTCTTTCAAAAAATCTGGATGATTAATATTTTTTAATCTGTCAGTACTTTTAGCTTTATTTAAAGTTAAATGGTATTTTTGAAGTAATTTTTTAAAATTAAATTCGATTGGATTGCTTACGCTTCCATTCTTTTGTTAATTTGACTACTCCTTAATTTTATTTATTAAATTTTAATTGTTTTAAGTTTTTTAAGCAGGTTCTGTAGTTATTTTATGTGATTTTGATAATAATTATTCAGAAGACTTAGTTTTAGATTGTTTTTTTAAACTTTTTTTCTCGTCTTATACTCCTTTCTTTAAATCTTAAACAGAATTTAATTGATAACATATTTATTGCTTAATTAAGTTAATGCTTTTTTATTGTGCACTTCCATTCGAATAATATCCGGAAACAAAATTGTTATTTTTTGCTTAACTGAACCTTTAGACATTTGGAGATTATTGTTTTCTCTTAGTCTCTAGTTCAGATTATCGGTGTTTGTATTCTCTTTAGGTTTAACAATTAAAATTTAATTACATCTGATTTTTGATTTACACATTAATCTATGGAACTACGTTCTAAAAGTTCTAGTATATAAAATAAAATGAGAATACCTTCAAAGATGTTTGAGACTAATTGCCATTAGTTTATTTCTTCACCGTTCCACTATATGGTGAAGGATTTAATAAATGAGTATTTGTAATCGACATTTTTGTATTATAATTTAAATATTTTCATTAATAAAATGATTCGCCCTGGTCTCGGAGTAGGAGTATTTATTAGAAATGGAGATTCTGTATTGATGAGCTATCGTAAAGTAATGGTACACCTTTAATCATAAGGATAATGGGTATCTGGCATTACCGGGTGGTCATCTTGAATTATTCGAAGAATTGGAAGATTGTGCAATTAGGGAAGTAAAAGAGGAAACAAATTTGGATATTGAAAATCCAAAAATATTTTAGATGGTGAATGTTGTGAAAAAAGAAATACAACATCATTTTGTAGTCATATTTTTAACAGCAGATTATAATGAAAAAAGTGAATTAATGAATGTGGAACCTAATAAACATAGCGATTGGAAATGGATTAATGCTAAGGAATTTTAATAACATTACAATGAAAAGCAATTATTTTATGGTCTAATGAAATTGGTTGATCGATTTGGTAACGCAGAAAAATTGTTTAATTTAATATTTAATAAATGATAATATTTATTCCGTATGCTTCAACCCATTTTATAAAGTAATATTGCCATTTATCCTTCATAAAAAAACATATATCTTTTGCTTTCGTAAGATGAATAAGAATTAAAATGTTTCCCTTAAATATTGATTAATAAAATGTGTACCAACAACACAATGCCAATTTGGACCATATTTTTCATCAAAGAATTTTTTTATGTAATTCGAAATTTATGATTCTACCTTAAAATGTTCCACTGCATACCTCGCCTATTAAACTAATTTAAAATTAAAAAACTTGGGTTCTAGCATCATTAATCATATCAGATTATTCTGGCATATCTATAATCTAATCCAAATTCTCTTCAGCCATTGAAAACTATAATTAATTTAAAATAATATTAAAAATATATATTCATAAAAATAATAATTACACTTTTTCAGAAAATATATCATTCTTTATTTTTAATGGTTTCTCATACAAAGCATCAAATTGTTCCATTATGTTTATTTTCTATTTTAATTGAAATTTAATTTACCTAGTCATTCTGGTACACCTTTTCATAACAACAACAATCTATAAGATGAATTTATAATTCAATATATTGTTCAATTACTTTAGGATCTTTTTCTTTTTCTTTCTTTTCAGACAAAGTTCTAATAATGAAATCATTCAACACTTCTTTGAAATTCTAATTAAATTAAGCTGAACATTCGATTGTCAGTTCTCTCTACCAATTTTTATCTTAAATTTCATCCCAAAATGATCTACATTATGAAAATGAAGTACTTTGCACTTCTTAATGCGAATTATAAAAGACTTTCGTAAAATTATTAGTCATCCAACATTTGTGATAAGAATTTTTAAAAATGTGGATTTTAATATACTTTATCTAATAGGTCTGTAACTCTAAATATATTTTACTTATCTAACAATGCTCTTGTCAATGAGTCATTTAATTTATATAGCTTTTTGATTAGAAACAAAAATGGTAATGCCGAATATTTTTCGGAAATCAAAGTATTTATTTCATTTAGTGTCCTAGATAAATATACAATTTAATCTCTTAGTCTCATGTATTTCTCAATTAATTCTTCAACCTTCTTCAAATCTTCTATTTATTTTTCAGTCTCTGTTATCTCTAATTTAACCTATTCATCTTAGAGATCGGGTAATAATTCAGTCTCCTTAATGTTAATCGGATTATTTTATTTAAGGATTTGCTATTCTTTCATTCCATCAAACTTTTTCATGAAATCATTCGAATTTTCAAATGTTTCCAATTAACCTTTATTTTCATAGAATTTCCCAATTTTTTCAACATTAATTTATTCAGCTTATAATAAATTAAGTGATAATTATTGATATCCTACATAATCATAAGTATTTACTCATTTCTTTCTATTTCATTAAGGGATGTGAATACAATTCGGACCACTTCAACCTATCCCTAGGATCCTTCATCAACATTTTATACAGCAGCCATTCTAATTGTGTAGAAATTGAAACTCCATTTTTTCTAAAATTAGGTTTATCTAGGAATGATATTTAAGTCTACTTGTTCTGATATCTTCCAAAAATGCCTTTTCATTTATGTTAGTGAATGGAAAAGATCCAAAAAGCAACTAATAGAACATACTGCCAATAGAAAACATATCAGCAGCCATGCCATAAGGTTTTTGCTCAACAATTTCAGGTGCCATATTACCTAAGGAACCAAGAAACAAGTGCTCATGTTGATTTTGATCCTTCAATTACTTACAGAACCCTAAATCAGCAATTTTTAAAGTAGAATTATGAATTAAAATATTAGGCAACTTTAGATCTCTATGTAAGACATTTTTCTCATGTAGGGCTTACATTCCAGCCAAGACTTATTTCATATATGCAATGACTTCATTTTCTGGGATCTTTTTACCTCTTTTGATCCACAATTATTCAAAATCACCAGCTTAATTATAGATAAGAAATTTACAATTGCAAAATTCCAAAACGATGTAGCATTAATTCTCTGATTAAAAGAAATCAATGAATTTTATTACATGTTCACTGTTGATTTATCTTAATACTTCAATTTCACTATCTAATAATTAGCCAACAATTCCTCTGTGCTCACTTAATTTTGCTTTTGGAACGCATTTAATCGCTACCAAATCTGATGTCTTGTCAACTTTTGCAGAAAAGACCTTTTTGTAATTTAAATTTTAATACTTAACCAAATGCACCCTTTCCTAATTCTTTGAGAAATGTATAATTTAAGACCCTCTTACCAGGATAATTCTGAATTTTGGTTGGCTACTATGACTGCAACATTCTAAAAATATTTAAGTTAATTATATTTTTATATTTATTTTTATATCTTGATTCTTTCAATCATCATCTCCTCCTTCATCACCTCCTTCTTCTAAATCACCATATGTTTTCTATTCGAATTTAGGATCATGATAATCTTGCCAATCAAATCTTGGTTTTGTGTATAAACAACTAAATAGCCAACACGCGGTTAAAAACAAGCCACACCTAGTAAACATAGCTATATTTATTTAATTACTCTTACTTCTCGTCCAATAATCATTAAAATCTCTGTGTGATTTACTCAAAACATAGCCCCATTTGTTTGGATTGTTTTCTACAATACCTTCTCTCAGCATCCAAGAAGCTGTTTCATAGCTTATTGCAATGTTTTTCACTTTGTATTAAAACTCTCCTGGTTTTTCGAATAATCCCTCTTTGAATGCAGCAGGCATAGAGGATCTTTGTCCTGCTTTCTAAAATACCTTCCACAAAGCCATTATTTATATAAATTTATAATAATTTTTATTAAGATCAAGTTATTATCTATACATACTGCTATCATTCTGTTTATTCAGATTTTTTCATGCTACAAATTTCATTTATTATTCAAAAATTATAACCATAAAATATTAACAAATTCATTGACCTTTCATATAATTTACAAAATTGATGATTTATTTAATATCCCCTTTATTCACAAGCCTATAGACTTGTTTCCTTTTGAAATCTAAAACACTATCATTTCTTAATACGATTTGCTTCTTTAAGAGTAACAATAATTTAAAAAATATTTAATGATAATCCTTGTTACTGATTAACTCGATCCTTTTATATCCAATTCTTTCATTTTAATATTACAACTTATAATCATTAAATTCATCGAAACATTTCCATTTAATTAATATTTTGTCCTAAATCTCACGCAAAAACTACCAATCTATTAAAAATAGAGATTAATTCCTATTAATGGCTCAGAACACTGATTTAAAACAGATATGGCTAACTTAAAGTAATCACATTCAAAGATTAGTGGCTTTTATTATTATAACATCTTTACAAGATATATTTGACAATTCTTCTGTAGATATAGTAGAATTTTATTGAGAAACTGATATTAAGGGATTTGTCTTTTATTTTTGGGCTAGATTCAAACTACTTTCAGGTTATTTTTACAACAGGAAATTATCATTAACCCTCTTATAAGTTAAAAGGCTTAAAATATCTAATTTTATCAAATCAATATATTTAATTAATTATTTGATTATTCGTTACTCTGATATTAAGATTTATTTTTCAAAAAGTTTTCTTCAGCCTTAAATAATCAGATCTTTTAAAAGAAAGCGATAACCTTATTAAATCAGTTATCAAAAGAAGTTTTAATATTTTCATTTAATACAATAAGAATATTATTGTCTTAAATATTTGAATTAAATATATTTAAAAATAAGACAACAAATTACAAAAAAACACGCTTCAATTTCACATTAAAAAAAGTATAATAATATTTTTGAGGAATCAACCCAGGCAAGTCAGATCTGTGCTAAAGACCGTAATTATAAGATTATTTAACATTTTTGGCATCTATCTTATAGTTTCTGTTTTTTAATTATTTAAAATAAATTTATCATCAAAGCTTTTACATTCTTAAATAGTGTCGTATTCACTTGTTAGAACAATTGCATTCTATTACTCCAATTAGGTTTTATTTTAATTTCTAATAAAATCTAACTAAAATTTAGTTTTCTTAACCGCTAAATTTTCTAAAGTAATTTCATTATTCTGCTTATCTATTAACAAAAAAGTTTAAATGATTGGTTTAAAAGTTAAGTATAAATTAGTGAATTAAACACACTTCATATTACTATAGTTTCTTTCAAGCCTTTTTTAATTAAATATTTACGACCTCTAGATTTATCTTTATAATATTAATTATACTTCTTAATATCAGAAAGCTTAAGCGATTTAAAAATTAAAGAAATTCCTTATTGCTCTCTTCATTAGGTTTCTAATAATATTTATGTTTTAGCTATTCTACGATAGTTTAAACCTATTGGCTTGAATTCAATTATATAATTTACTCTTCTTCTTTTAGTATTCTTTTAAATTACTGACAAACATAATATTCTGATTTCGTCTGGTACTGATATAGTTTTAGAAAAAATTTCAGTTTATCGTTCATAATTAATTTAGAATAATCCTAATGATATTTTATCATATCTTTTATGAGGAATATCGTAAATATCTAGGTCGAATTCAAATAGTATATAGAATAGCAATGCGCACCTCTATTAATTGAAAGATATCAAGATAGAAATGTATTATTCAAAATCATTGAGATACCATTCTAAATTGAATTTATTCAAAATTATTCAATTATGAAATAATAT